AGCGTAAATTTCTTTATTATTAGGTAATTAAAGGTTATTTTATATATATAAATAAGCCTTAAATTTATTAATAAATCTATATATATTATATTTATACTTAAATACCTAAGTTAATAATAATAAGTATTAATATTATTTAATTTAATTAGGTTAAATAAGCTAAAAGGTTCCTTACTTATAAAAAGTATTATATTTAGCTTTTATAGCCTTCTTAAATTTAAGCTTATATAAGTGTTTTTTTAGCTTTTTTTAATATTAAAGTTTAAGTAATAAGCTTTTTTTATATAGCTTTTTAAGCTATTTAATTAAAAAGCTGCTATAAAAGCTACTAAAAGCCTTATTAGAAATCTATTATAATTATTTTAAGCCTTTAAATTAACTGCTTTAATTAAATAGTTTTAATAAAGCTAGTATTAAAAGGTTTAATTAATAACTACTTATATCTGATTTAAGGTTTTTAAAAATATTAGAGCCTAATAATTAGCTTTTATTTTAATTAGCTTATTTAAGGCTTTAAGTATTAACTTTAATAATTAATTATACTTTATTAATATTATTATTATTATTAGACTTAATATAAGTTAAAAATTTAAGCTATTATAGCTTTTTTAATTAAATTTAATAAATTTAGCCTTAATAAAAGGTTTTTTTATTAAAAGTTATATTTTTAACTTATTTAACTTTTAATTTTAATAGAATTTATATATAAAAAATATTAATTAAATTATATTTAATAAGGTAGTTAATTTCTATATAAGCTATTATTTTTAAAGATTATTTTTAAGTATCTTAGAGGGCTTTCTAGGTTATTAAATAAGCTTTATAGCTATATATAACTAAATATATAATATTAGGCCTATCTAAATAACCTATATTATAATTATTTAATTAAAGCTACTATTAAAGCTATTAGAAGAGTATCTTCTAGTTTATACCTTATTATAATAATAAATTATAAAGGTAGATAATAGCTTTCTAGATTTTAGGCTATAATTTAGCTAGAAAGTTAGCTACTAGCTATATTATATAAGCTTTTAACCTTAGAATATTTTTAAACCTTTTAGTAAAGCTGTTTTATATAAGTATATATAATAATATAAGCTTATTAATAATGCTTTTTTAAGTGACCTAGGCCTTATAAGCTATTTAAAGGCTTTTATTATTATCCTAATAAATTTAATAAATACCTAGTTAATATTATTATTAAATTTAAGCCTTAAATAATTAAATAGTTAATAAAAAAGTATTTTAAGTAGTATTTTTAAGCTTAAAAACTATTAATAAACCTAAAAATTTATTTTTAATTACTAAAGCTACTAACTTATTATTATAGCTAGGCTTAAATTAAAAAATATTAATATAAATCCTTTAAAAGGGTTTAGGGCTTATTATTTATAGGTTTTTATAAGAAATAACCCTTTTAGCCTTAGCCTTAAAATAAGCTTTATAGTTAATTTATATAAGGCCTTAAATTTTAAACCTAGTAGTTTATTAGACTAAATATTTAAAGCTATTTATATTTAAGTAGCCTAGCTACTAATACTAAAAGTTAATAAAAGCTGTTTTTTTAAATTAAGATTATATTAAATTAAATTAAAAGCTTTTAATTTAATAGATTTTATTAAATTTAATAATAGGCTACTTAAAATAATACCTTATAAAAAAAATAACTTTATTATCCTTTAATATAGCCTTTATAACTAGGTTCTAATTATAGCCCTTTTCTAAAAAGTAATCTAATAATATTATATTAATATAAAAGGTTAGGATAAAAGCTACTTAATTAAGCTAAAAAAGCCCTGTTTATATTTATAAAATAACCTTTTTATAGCTTTTAATTTAAAGCTTTATATTACTTATAAAGGCCTTATTAAGCTATTAAAGGACTTAATAATTAGTAAATTAATTAAAATTATTATAAATATATATATTTAACCTAAAATTAAGAATAAAAAAATCCCTTAAAAGGTAGATTTTCTTATAAATTAATTAAATAAATAATATAGCTATTAGCTTTATATAACTTAACTTATAACTTTATTAATTAAAGCTTTTATTTTTATTAATTTAAGTGTTTTTAGTGTTTTTAGTATTTTTAAGCCTTTTAGGCTGCTTTTATTTTTTAACTTTTTAAGCCCTTTAATATCTAGGCTTTTATAGGCTTTATTATTTATTAATTTTTTAGGCCTTTAATATCCTTAATATATATATAAAAGTATTTAAAGCTTATTAAAAATAATTTTAACCTTTTATTTATTAAAAAAGCTAAAAATTAGTTTTTTAATATTTACCTTTTATTTTAAAAAGCTATTAAGGTTTAATAACCTCTAAGGTAAGCTATTAATATTATTAAACCTTACTTTTTATTTTAAGAAACTATTAAGGTTTAAGCTATTTTAGCGCTTTTAAAAGGCTTTTATTTTATAATAAGCCTTATATTTAAAGGCTTTTAATTTAAAAAATACCTTATTATTATTATTATTAAGAGCTTTTAATCTAAAAATTACCTTATTATTATTATTAAAGTTAGCTTAAAAATATAATACCTTTTATTTCTAGGTTTTCTTATTACTTTTAATTAATTTAATTAAAAGCTTATTAATAAGCTTAATTAACTTTAGCTTTAATAAATAAGTTTAATAGCTTTTATTAAATTTAAGCTTTAATTTTAATATTAGGCTTTTATATTAAGTTTTTAAAAAGCTTATTAAGGTATAAATAGTAATAAAAGTAATATTTTTAATTATAAAGGTAAGTTAAAGCTATTTTTAACCCTTTTAACCCTTTTTATTAATAGATTTTAGGTTAGCTAGGTGCTTATAATAAATTTAAGGTCCCTAATAATAGGCTTTCTTAGAAGATAAAAAATAAAAAACTACCTTTACTTTTAATAGCTTTTTAATACTAATAATATTATTTAAATAAGTTATTAATTTAAAAGCTATTTAAAACCTTATTTTTTTATTTTTTCTTATTAAAGTTTAATAGGTTTAAAATATAATTATTTTAATAGTTTAAAAATATAAAGCTAATTAAAGCTATTATAACTATAAAATCTAGGGTTAATTAAAGCCTTTAAGTATTAAATAAGTTAATTTAATAAGCTTTTACTAGCACTTTTTATTAGCTTATAATCTAAGCCTTAATTTTTATATAATTTATACCCTTTAATATTAATTTATATCTTATTAAAACCTCTTTTTTAAACTCTTAAAATATAGGCTATAATTAGGCTTATAATAGCTTTAACTATCTTAAAATACTGTTTTTAGCAGCTATTATATTATAATAATTATTAATAGTCTTAATAATAAATTACTAAATAACTAAAAAAGCTTTTTAATACTTTTAATAAGCTTAAATATTAACCTAATAATTATTTTTAAGGGATTTAAGCCTTTTAAATTAAACTTTATTAAGGTTTATAATTATTATAACCTTAAGGTTAATATTATTAGATTAGGGTTTTTCTAAAGAAATAATAACTACTTTATTAGGCTATTAAGGGTTAATTAAATACTAAATACCTTAATTTATAATATACTTTTTAATAATAAAAATCTACTAAAACTAGCTACTTAAACCTATTAGGATTACTAATAAAAAACCTTTAATATTTATAGCTAGGTTATTTTAGGTCTTTTATTAAAAACCTTAAATATATTATAATTTAACGTTAAAATATCCTAAATTTAATAATAAATCTAGGCTTATAATTATTATAATTAATAGCTATAAACTAGATTAAAGCGTAGAATTATCCTTTTTATTTAAAGCTATTTAGGGAGAAAAAATAAGCCCTTTTTATAGATATTAACTATTATTTAGCTAGTTACCTAGGAAATCAGTAATTAAGGGATTTCTAGCTATTAAAAGTCCAGCTTTAATAGGGTAGTAGCGCGAGCCTTTTAGAGGCTTTTGGAGGCTTTATTTTGACAATCATATTAAGGCTTTTGGGGCTTTTTGGCGATACCGATGAATAGCTTCCTTTTTCCATTGAAAGGGGGCCTTTGGCGTTGACATCATTTGTCTCGAAAACAAAACAAAAAAACACCTGACACCTGAACTCATCTATATTCACACGGGCCTGACAGTTTCCCTAGTATATGCCAAGTTGATCTCATTTGTCGAAGAGCTGATTGAAGAGCTGCCTCAAAAACCCCATCGCCACCATACCACCAAAATCATTCCGAGACTGGCAAATTTATCCCAATTCAATTTCTACGCAGCCATTAAGCTCATCTGTGGACCATGCCGTGTAGCGTCCTTCTTTGCCAATGGAACATTCGATGCCGTGCGTGGTAGGAATTGCCGAATTTGCATCTTATGCAATGAGTGCACGTTCGATTATATTATATTTGGAGGGTAGAATGCAGCCACCTCATGCACAGCAACTTGGCGAGGCTAGGCCATTTCAGCCGTGCCGCACTAAACTAATATCGAGCAAGAGCGAAACCCGGCCGCCGCTGTTTACTGTGTCTGCGATGGAAGCAGTCATGGTGGTGTGTACATGTAGTGCAAACCGGCCGCGAAAAGGTATAGAAACTGTCATGACTTGACTCTAGAGGGATACGGTGGCGACCAGAGGGTCCATCATCTTTCCTTTTATTAGTATTTTAAAAAAAGGCACTGGAAAAAAAAAGGAAACCATGAACAATCCCCGCCGTAATGTCTACCCTTTTTTCCTCTATAACAAACCCGAACCCGAACCCACGTAGCCTACTCTCAAGGAATGAGAGGCATATCAAACAGCGATGGCAAGAACTTTAGATTCAGCCATCAGCCGTAAAAGAAGAAGAAATATGTTCATTACATAAGCTATAGTGTACGAAAACCTCTGGAAAACACATAGCCCAGGTTTCAACCCATCTCCCCGACCCAAAACTCCCTCTTCCAGCAAATTAGACCAAGTATTCCGCCAGTGCTCGTAGACGACTCCAAAGACGACGAGGAAATAGTAAACACACAAAAAATAAAAGAACCAACGCTGCGCCATGAGCCTATGAGCACCCCTTCGCCTCGGCAACCGCATCGCTATGCGTGTCATCACACCAGACAAACGCCCGCGCCACCGCCTCCGACGACTCATTCCTCCTCACAGGGGTGCACCTGTACCCAACGTAGCCCAGCCCGGTGGCGTTGGCGCAAAAGTTGACGCAGCAGTTGCCAATGTTCGGCACCCAGACGTAGCTGCGGACGCCAAAGTCAAAGTCGGCGGCGGCGCTGGCGCCCCCGTCGCCGGTGAGGATCCGCGTCGCCGCGCCCGTGAAGCCGGGCCGCGAGAAGCCCTGGAAGGCAAAGGCATACCCCTGCGGCCAGGTCTGGTTGCTGAGGAACTGGACCGTCTGCGAGGGCGCCGTGGCCGCGGAGGAGGACGCGGGCGTGCTTGACGATGCGCTGTCGACGCGCGTGAGCATCGACGCCCATGTATGTCCCGTAGTTGAAGATGGCAAAGGAAACGAAGGAAACGAAGAAACTCACCTCGCGGGAGTGGCGTTCGGCTTCTTTGAAGACGCAACGGCGCCGCCTACGCCACCCCCAACGGCGGCCGCGACGACGATGATGGTGACGGCGACGAGGATCAGGAACGCATTTTTGCTCATTCCCAGGATCCGCGGGCCCCCCTGGCCTCCGGGGGGTAGGGCCTCGGGCGCAGCGTCCGACATGGACCTGGCTTTTAGGGTGTCGGCATGCGTGGCCCGGGGCGTCTGGGGGCTCGCGACGGCTGCCGTCTCGGGATACTCTGATGTTAGCTCTAGTGGAACGACGTGTTTGAGAGCGCTGTCGTGCTCGAGGTTGACGACCTCCTTCTCGGAGTCGGCGGGCCTCGGGGGCGGTGGCTGTCGCTCCGAGCTGCGCGCGGACTGGTACTTGGCCTGCAGTTCATTCTCGAGATTTGACTGCGGTGTTATTGGCGACAGCGTGGCGACGGCCTCGGGGGCGTGAGCGTCGGGGTCGTCATGGTCGTTGCTTTCAAAGGGGTTGCGGCTCGCCATTGGTGATTGCTCAGTTTCCACCCTTACTTTATGTTGTCGTGGATGAGAAGAGTCGGGGGATGAGAGGCTTTCAAGTTGCGAAATGACTGCCGAGAGGAGGGATGAGACGGCTCATGGCAGGAATTCACCAAAAGAGAGAGAGAGAACTTGACGAGTGAGATGATCAGGGACCTGAGAATGAGATTAACCCTCCAAATTCACTGGACGGATGTGACTGGGCCCCTGGAAGAACAAGACAGCTCGACATCTGGAGGCCGATTTCGAGCCGGCATTAGCTTGATCAGTGAGCGAGTTGCCATGGCAGTGCTCTCCGAAAAATAAAAAAGACGAGGCCGTCTGCATGAGGCTCAAGCGTAAGGCGGATGAATAGAATCGTCGACACCCATGCGAGAGCCATGACCTCGGCAGGGCAAGATCGTCGGAGATCTGCGAGCGAGATGAGGGGTGGTTGCATTTGGCGGCATCATTTGACATGACCTGGCCTACGGCTGAAGCGTGAGTAAGGTGATTGGTGTTGTTTGTCGAGGGAGATTTGGAGATGGAAAAGGGGCGCACATCAACATGGCCCAGTTGACCTTTTGGCATTGCCGCCGCGGGTAAACTAGTAGTTGTCACTTGTTTACTTGGTCCACATTAGTTGAAAGGGGCGGAGATGGGATTTGGCCAATCGGGGCAACTTCTCAAAGATCATTGACGGCCCTTTCTCAGCCCTGCCTGGTGACATGTGTGTTAATTGGTGGTGGCGGTTGAGGTCCAGCCTGGGACAGGACATGTGCCTATCGAGAAGTGACTCTGCGTTGAATTAGTACATGCACATATATCAGTGTACCGAGCGCGTAGCCAGCTGCCACATCTGGTCAACTTACTTTTATGCAAGTGAACCAGACGTATGTGCCTTTTGGCCTCTCACTGTACAAGTTCCTCCACCACACGAGTTGGCAACCTACCAGTTGACACTTTTCATATCATCCCCCGCACCGAGTAATGTGAATGAAACTCGCCATCAGGTTGCGCCAGCGACTGGAAAGGCCGGGACTTGTAATTTCTGTCCATCATTCGTCGGATTTTGGGCTGCTAAATTATGGCTGCCGCCTGCGTGCGACCCGAAATGTCGTGCACCCCCGAGTTAGCAAGTCATCTCAAGCGACCGCAGTGCCGACATCTGCCTCTGATACCCATCACGTTGCACTTGTCAAGAAGAGCAAATCGAGTCAGAATCAGAGCCATACACTCCCTTGCTTGAGGTTGCTGCATTACTCGCGGAACAAGGTAAATGATGATTTTAACTTTTTGACCCCTTAGTTTGACCTCCCCTCGCAAGTATATAGCAGACAATAATGCGAACTCAAACGTGACGGTCGGGCAATACCCCTAGTCGTATGAAAATGGTCTAGCTCCCCTGTGCACTATGAACATGGCGTCTGGTGTTTTTTATTTGGGGAATTGCCGAGTCCAAATACCGGGCATGGCAAGGACGAGGCATTGACTTCCAAGACGAGTAAGCGGCTTGCGTCTACATCTGCCGCGTTTACTTGCTACTTTCTACTACATATTAATCTTGCTGACCAGCGAGCTCTGCGGTCCTTTCTGATGCACGGCACGCATGGTCATATGAATTTAGGGACAACTCTAAAAGAAATAGTCCCATGCATATACTTGCAACGCAACCGTCTCAATATTCTCATAAGCCACAACTCATATTATGCTACCAATAACGCAGTTATTCAAAATCTAGCCCAGTTCTTCAAACTTTCTCATCACGCACTAACCCATATCCCTACAAGCCAAGTCAGCATGTTATAGTCTCGCAAAAAACACATCACTACGAAAAGACTTACAGCAAAGCGAGCGTCACGTCGCCGTGAATCTTGGCACGCAGCTCAATCTCCACGTCCAGGTTCAAATCAAGACGCAGCTTCAGCGGGTTCTTCTTCTCGTCCTTTGGCGCAGCCATCATTTGCTGCTGCGGCATGGGCGGCGCCATCTGCTGCTGTTGCTGCTGCTGCTGCCGCTGCTGCCGTGCGACCATCTGGTTTTGCCGGTCCTCGTCTTCCCAGGCGTCATTTATGGGACGCTTGCGCTTCCTCGTCGCCGTTTTGGTAGGCCGCGCCGGCTGTACGGCCTGCTCCTGCTCCTGCTCCTCCTCCGCGGTGCTCTCGTTGCTGATGTGCGGCCCGGTGTCGTCTTCTTGATTTTCATTCTCGGACTCTACACGAGGCGTGTTAGTCGTGCCCCTGGAGGTGATGGTTTGCTCGTGGTGCAACTAACCGCTGCCTTGTTCGTTGCGCTCCTTTTCCTTCTCCATTGTTGGGTTCTACGGTAACGTCAGCACATGGCAGATGGTCAAGTGGACTCTGGCAGCGAGACCTACATTTACAGCCATGACGGGTTTTGTTAGATGTTGCCGAGGAGGCTGAGTACAGTGCTGGTAGTATGGAGTGTATGAAAGGTGATTGTTGGGTATGGGGTTTGAAAACAAGACTCTGTGCTATCTAGTTGAGGGTTTCTCTCTTATGGTTCTTTTATCAACTTTATCGAAACAGGATAACTGGTTGGATGTGATGTGATGTCATGACACAAGGGTACTATATTTACGGATATTATAGCCGAAAAGTATATCATGCGGCCGCGGAAACCTGTTTGAGCACATCGCAAAAGTTGGTAGTTGGTTGAGTAGGACGGGGGCAAGCTGGTGGCTGGAGGAGATGACGCACTTTCTGGCTTGACAAGCACCCAGCCACAACATCTCTCGCTTGACGGTTGGAGATGGCTTAGCCCCAGATCGATCGACGACATGAAGGGACAGGGGAGGGGGGCGTGAGAGGCGAAAACGTGGCGGAGAGACGGGACATGGCAGCGTCATGGCACAAGGGGATTGTCTGGAAGTAGGAATAAAACCTCCCCGAGAGACGTCATGGCTCCCCCCACAGGCTCTCAATATTGCAAGCCAAGTTACTGCTGGTTTGGATACGGAATACACCCCCCCATTTACACAGAACCATCATGGTCATTGGGCTTCTTACCATCACTGCCATACCGACCATCACGGGGGTCGGCCAGGCTGTGAGTGCGCAGAAGCGGCAAAACGCTGCCTCCAAAGAGCAAGAAAAGATTCATCTAGCAGCGTCGTTTGTTGGAGAGAGCCCGTTGAGCGATGCCATGCCCACCTGTTTCCTGAAAGACGGCAAGGTGAGTCGGCGTGTCGGCGCCCATCTGGAAAGAATTGGGCTGCTTTTAGATTTTTAACTGTTTTCTGGCTAAAATCTGACACAGCTCGTGCTCGAGTTTCCGGGGGACAATGTCGACGGCCACAAGTTTTGCGGCTTTCACTTCAAGTATCCCGGCGAGGAGCAGCACCTAGGACTGGTGAGCAGCATCCAGGATGAGCCGCCCGTGCTTAACTGGATCTACGTCAACCGGGACACGCACGCGCTGGAGTATGGCGCCAGGAAGGACACTCTGGGCCACATTGTAGGCCCATGGGGCTGGAGCGAAGACGAGCGGTTTCTCACCTTGGATGGGAACACGGGGGGATTCATGGCAAGGAGACGGGAGCATCATGGTGTGGAGAGGTGGATATTGTACTGGGATCCCGAGGCAGACGGCGACAGCGAGCAGCAAGGACTCGCGGGATCCGTCATGCTTCATCGAAAGCCGGTACTGGGAATGGAAAGTACCTACGTACGAGATGGAGAGAGTTGATTACGACTTGGGGGGCAAAGGGCCGCGAATGAGGTACGAAAGGAAGACGGGGGCGCGCACCAAGGTTTGAAGAGTATTCTAAGTCACTGTATACATGAGTAAATCTTATAACATGATTCCGTACAAGCAGGATTGAATATCAACGACACCCCGATACAGCGGGAGGCGGATTTCAAGACACCAGGTGTATCAGGTGTGCCATCATAGTAGCATATGTATACTGGTTCATGGACAATTATAGTCTGCCAACTCCGCACATACGAGATATCAAAACGTAACCTTGACGCAAGTGTCGGCTTGACGGCGTTGATCTTCCAGGAAGCGGGCGGGTCGAGCATGTTTGGCGCCCAGTCAAGTCGGGTTGAATATGCAGCCCGTGCTGAATTTGGCTACTTGAGGCATACGAGGATAGAATCGTGGCTACTTGTTGGTCCAACTAACGATCTGAAGCGGGCCAAAAGCCCCGGGTTGGTCTCTCTTTCCGTCTTTGCGCATGATGACGATTCGACCATGGATTTCCTCAATGGCGGCCGCCACGAGTCCACAATTTGCCGCTTTTCACACCTGTGGGTGGCATGGAGCCAAAACATGAGTTCGTCCGAGGCATCAGAGTGGATTTAATCCTTGCCTTGTTTACGCCCAAGGCGGCACGATTTGCCTACTTCCGTCCGTCACCAACCTATTCACTTTGACCAAGGACCGCTGCTAGATGCGAGACAAGCCTCCTGGAGCCTCTAGCGGCCGATATCATGGAAAACAATCAATCCAAAGACCTAGCTGTCGCCCTGGCCTCGAGCTGGAGATTCCCCCCAAAGCTCTCTCTTGGACATAACCACTTGCATCATCCGAAAGCAGCATCAAGTTGGTACGACGAATAGAAATGGCTGACAGTGGCCCTATATACTCCCCTCTACCCGCCCCGAGCATGCTTTACCAGGGCTCCGAGGAGAAAATGTCAGGCACATCAACGCCGCAGACGGATTCAACCGAATTGTTGCCCGATACAAGGCAGGACAGCCGCTCCTCTTACCCCCTGAGACTACCCCAGAGTCCCCCAGGTGCACAGAACAATCCCATACAGATTCCCAAAATCACGGCAGACATCTCCTTTGCCCACGACCCGGCTGTCCTGGCGCGCGGGCTCGAGGGCAAGTGCGTGGATGAATTCGGCAACGTCCTCGACTGGGACGGCACCGTCCTAGGCCGCGTGGAAGGCGACCTGCCATCCATGGTTGGGAGATCTGTATCCAGCGACGGCAGAGTTTGCGATGGCAGCGGCGACGTGGCAGGACATGTGTCCGAAAACCACATGGACTCGTCTACGGCGGCACCGGACCACGGCAGCAAGAGACTGAAGATGGACCACTCCGGCAACATCTACGACCATCATGGCGATGTTGTGGGCAGGATGAAGGACCACTCCAAGGAGAATAAGACGGCTGCCGCGGACGGTTGTGCGAGATGCAGAGAGCGAGAGAGAGAGCGAGAGCGAGGCCCAGGCCCAAGCAATGATGCTGGCGGCCAGCAGGAGTCGCAGGAAAAGGCAGCGGATGGAGCGGCTGACGATGTGCCTCACCGGACGGCGACTCCAAGCCCTTCAGATATCTACTTGGATGTCAAGTCTACGCATGATGGCATCCAGTTGATCATCAAGATCCCTACAGTTTTCAATCGCCATCGCGAGAGGGAATGATGGCATGAATATAATTCCTCATTCATAATTTGCCAGCTGAAGTTGCCACACGGCGTACGGAGTACGGAGTAGACAAACATAAATTGTAAATGCCATCAATCATGGCCGCATCATCAACAGACAGATGGACTGGGCCACACGTCAGCCTCCCAACCGCTTTGCCACAGTTCGACTTGTGTTACCTCAGAGGCGTCGCTAGTTCGGATGACATGCAGCACCGTCAACGCCAACGCCAACCGACGCGGCTAGCAAGCATGTCGCATGTCGCATGTCGTGCTGTCGAGCAGCTCGATGTCGGTTGCTGCATCCACACCGGGTTCGGCCCAAGAATCAGTCTATTATCTGGCTACGTCCACCCTCGACTGAAAGCAACGTCCAAACTAGATTCCAACGGCCCGCTGTTTCCCGCCTCCATGACACAACTTGACAACCTCCACGTGCAATGGTTGCATCGGCTAGACTCTGTGGCCATTGTCTTTGAATAGACCGAGTGTCAAAAACAAGGCACTGGCAATGCCTCAGTTCCAATGTTGGCCACACTTTGCACGCACCAGCCACCGTGTTCCTGATCTGCTCCCCATCGGAATTGCGTCACCATGTGCAAACATCTACTTCCATCCTGGGTGATCGCCCAAAAGTGACGTGTATGTGGCGGAGTGTGACTTTCATGCGCTTCACATATGACCTCAACAACAGCACAAGAGCCCACCAAGGAGTTTCATACACACGGCTAATGTTGACAGGCAGAAGGGAAGAAAAACTTGGTTCCCAAAATGGCTTTTTACCACGTATAAAGCCGCCCCATGGCTGGAGAACATGGCTGGATCGGCACAGCATGTCCAAGACATTGCCATAATTTACTTTGGTAACAAGCTTTTTCCCGACTTGCATTATGCCAGTCACCAAACCACTCTCGTCCCTCCACCCAGTCGGATCTGGGGCCGAGGGAGACAAGCAGCAAAAACAAGGTGCGTCGTGCATGCCACCCACAAACCACCAACACATGCAAGTGGCCGTAGATGCGAGCTTCTCTTTGATACCCTCAGTGTTGATTATTACCCTGGATCTAACCGCATTGGGTGCTGCAGGCACCGAGGCCCTCGAGTCGGTCCCCCGAACTGTGGCCGGCGTGATCAACGACAAGGGGGAAATCATCGACAAGTCGGGCAAGGTCATAGGAACCGTCCTGGACGTCAAGGACCACGAGAAGCTGGTCGGGGATGCAGTGACGGACAAGGGAGACGTCGTCTCAGACCTGGGCGAGAGCCTGGCCAACGTGCACATTGACGACAACTACACGCCGACCCAGGTCCCGGCACAGGTTCCCGAGAAGAAGGACGCCGCCGCCGGCTGGAATGTTCTGGGCAAAGCCAGGACGGCCATGCAGTACGGCGACAGCATTCGAAACGCCGTGTCGTATGGCCAAAACTTGCAGGGCGCCTATAGCAAGTTCTCCCAGGGCCAAAAGCCCGAGGCAGACAAGACGGGCGAGGGCGTCTCAGCGGCCAGAGAGCCTGCTGGCGGCGAAGACCAGATGCCCACCCCCGTGAAAATGGAGGACAAGGACAAGCCTGCCCAGGAGGATGTCAGTGCCGAGACGCAAGGGTTCAAACCCCAAGACCTGAAGGGGGGAGAGGCAGTGGCGTCTGCTGCCGAGGACAAGCGTGCTGCCAAGCCGGCTCCGGGTGAGCCTGGAGAGGACGCCGGAGAACAGATCGGCTCCTTGGCCGCCCAGAGCCCGAGACCTATTTCTGAGGAAGACGCCCGGGATGTTCCCGGGTCTTTAAAGGAAACAGTTGAAACTGCTTCGGAGGGACAGAAGCCCCTCGAGGAAGTCAAAGATGTGGCGGGCGATGACAAGCTTGATCAAGATAAGCCAGCTGAGCTTGAGCGTGAAGAGGGTCAGCTTGGCGGGGACAACTTGGGCCAAGACAAGTTGGAAGAAGCTAAGCCTGGCGAAGACACCCTCAGTGAGGCCAAGGATGAGGTCGCCAGCAGGGGTGAAAGTCAACTGGGCAAAGATACACTGGGCGAAGACAAGGTAAAAGAAACTATGCCTGGCCAAGACACCCTCGGTGAGGCAAAGGATGAGGTTGCTAGCAGGGGTGAAGGTCGACCCGATGAAGACACACTGGGCGAAACTAAGTCTGGTGAAGACACCCTCAGTGAGGCAAAGGATGAGGTCGCCAGCAAGGATCAAGGTCAACTCGGCAAAGATACACTGGGCGAAGCTAAGCCTGGCGAGGGAACCATTGCTGAGGATAAAGTTCAACCCGGCGAGGACAAATTGGGTGAATATGCTGTTGGTGAGGCCCGGAATGAAGCCACAATCAAGACTGAAGAGGGCCGGCTGGGCGAGGACAAGTTTGCCGAAACGGAGCCTGATAAAATGACCCTCGATGAAGACAAAGTCCAACCAAGCGAGTCCAAGCTGGGTGAAGACACAGTCGGTGAGGCCCAGGGTGAAGTCGCAAGCAAGACTGAAGAGGGTCAACTGGGCGAGGACAAATTGGACGAAGCCGAGCTTAAGAAAAGGGGCCTCGATGAAGCCACAGGTCAGCCAAGTGAGGGTGCATTAGGCGAAGAAACATTCGGTGAAGAAGCCGCTGGCAAGCCTGAAGAGGGTCAACTGGGTGAGGATCAGTTAGCCGAAACCGAGCCTGATAAAATGACCCTCGACGAGGCCAAGGATGAGGCCACGGACAAGGTCGAAGAAGGCGCAGAGGAAGCCGGAGAGACTGCTGAAAAACCATTGGACTTCACGGTACTTAAAGGTACCAAGGTCAACAAAGCCGGCAACCTGGTCAATGACAATGGGGACATTATCGGAAGGCTCGTTGACGGCGACCCCAAACAGTTGATGGGCAGGACGGCCGATGAAGAAGGACAAATCTGGAACGAGTCCGGCAAGGTCATCGGCAAGGCGGAGCCAATCTCCGACGCCGACCGCGATGAGGCAGCCAAAGAATTCGCGCCGTTCGAGAATTTCCCAGATGCCGTCGTTGAAGGCGACGGACGTGTCGTGTCCGAGGGCCGTCAGGTTGGCGAAGTGATTGAAGGCGACGCCAAGCGCATGAAGGGCAGCCGCGTCGACGAGGACGGCGACATTCTCGACCGTCGCGGCAATGTCATCGGCAAGGCCAAACCCTGGGACGAGCCAGAGGAAATCCCCCCCGAAGTCATTGACATGTCGTCCCTGGCCGGAAAGAGAGTTAACAAAGCCGGCAACGTCGTAGACGCTCACGGTCAAATCTTTGGCCGCGTCGTCGAGGGCAACGTCAAGGCTCTCATCGGCCGCATGTGCGACAAAGAGGGCAACATCATGAGCGAGTCGGGCGAGAAGATAGGACGCGCCGAACTGGTCCCCGAGTCGGAGCGCGAGGGATCTCGCGAGGGACCCTTTGCAGAACTGTCAGGCTGCACCGTCACCAGGGACGGAAAGGTGGTCACGCCGTCGGGTGACGTGGTGGGCAGGCTCACCAGCGGCGACGGCAAGGTCCTGTACGGCCGGGCCGTGGACGAGGACGGCGATGTCGTCGACAAGAACGGCAACGTCCTGGGCACGGCGGAGCGGTGGGAGGAGCCCGTGGTCGAGAAGAAGAAGGATCCCCTTGCCGGGCGCAGAGTCAACCGCGAGGGCAACGTCGTCGACGAGGACGGCAACATCATTGGCAAGCTGGTCAGCGGCGACCTGAACATTTGCTCCGGAAAGGAGATTGACGACGACGGGGACGTGATCAATTCCAAGGGTATGGCCATTGGCCACGTTAGTCTTCTCGAGGACATTCCGCCCGAACCAGAGGAATCTGCTGAAGACAAGGAGAAGCGAGAGCAGGCCGAAAAGGACAGGAAGCTTGCCGGCCAGCTCGCCGCCTCCATCGAGCAGTCTCTCGACAAGATCAAGCCCATCCTCAGGATGATCACCGACAAGGTCGACAGGGCGGAGCGCACGCCAAAGGAGGAGCTGGACGAGGAACAGCTCGTCAGAGAGGTGAAGCCTCTCATTGAAGAAGGGAGCAAAATCCTCACCGAGACCAACGGCGTCGTCCGGGGCATGGACCCCGACGGCCGCATCCAGAGGCAGGCGAAACACAAGGCTTCGACAAAGGATGCGACCCCCGAGGAGCATCATCTTGCAGAAGTCATCAAAGAAGTGAGTCACCTATTCTCGCAAAGTACACATAGCCGGGCGCATGTGAATCTAATACGTGTTTTCAGCTCACGGGCGACGTCACCCAGACCATTGACAATGCAAAGCGCAAGATTGAAGGAATGCCTCACGCCAAGAAGGAGTTGAATCCTCTTTGGGGCCTCCTCTCCGAGCCGCTGTTCCAGATTATCGCGGCAGTCGGTCTTCTCCTCAACGGCGTTCTTAGCCTTGTTGGCCGTCTGGTGAGTCTCTTTGTTGCTTTCCTACTTGGTCGTGTACTGGCTAACGCTGTATTAGTTGAGCGGTTTGGGTCTCGGTGGCTTGGTTGACAATTTGCTTGGCACACTTGGTCTTAACAGGGTGCTTGATGGTCTTGGGTTGGGTAGTGTTACGAGTGCCCTGACCGGGAAGAAGGACAAGGATAAGAAGAAAACTCTCTTTTAGTGTGTAGTCTTAGTTTTGTATGTAATGATAGTTGACGAATACGATGAATCCATGCGTTTCGACAACTCTTATCATGGAGCGAAGAGACATGCTATGACTTGCCTGTCGAATTCCTGTCCCTGTGGCAGGATTATGTTCTGTCGTTTCATGTATGGCAGGCACATCTGTTTCTGGGTTTCACTCACGTCACAGCACTTGCGTCTTCTACAAACACAATCCGCTACGCGTGCGACAAGGACGCCTATAGATTGCGAGGTTGCCAAAGCGAGCATGTAACTAACTTGGTGAAGTCACCGGCGGTATTTCCCGCGTATTGTTGGTTGAATGTTCCTTTGGCCTAGTGGCTCAGAGTGAGCTAGTTGCCGACTGCTTTCTATAATAGAGAATTCCACCTTTGGCAAAGTTACATTCCCGCAATGATTTGAAATGGTCCGGCCTCGTATATGACAAGCAAACATCTGCATGAGTTCTGACAAGTGGCCAAGTCGAGAGCCACGTCAAAGGGATTGTAACTCGTACGGGGCGATGGCCGTTAAAGTTTACAACTGGAGGAAAACCCGTACGCAGTGCTCTGCTAGTTCAAATGGAGCGAGTTGCTCGTATGCCCAAGTTTATTTCAGTGACCCCAGGAGAATCCGTTAACCGGCGGGGTGGTTGTTGCCGTTGCGTGGCGGGATGGTTACGACTTGTCTTTCCCTAGCTGAAGGAGACGCGATTCGCAAATTATCTTATAGTCCGCTCGGTTCGCCCCAGACTAACTGGTCGCAATAATATGTCTAAAATGGGCATTTGTCCCTCAGATACATGCGGTGACTCGTGCTGTTCAGTTCCCCAGGCGAGCGTGATACCAAGGTCCCTGGTCTGGTTTTTGCCTTTGACTGTAGTCATGTCACTTGATAAACCCGGCGTAGCTGCCAACAAGTGAATCGCCCTTCCCAGAATTTTGAAGCTCTGGCAACAAATAGGCAAGTCTCAGACACAAACGGCATGACCGCTCATTTGCGCAGCAGCCACAAGGTAGCCAGTCGACTGTTTCACAACACATGCTGAAAATACGCACCTTGCACCAATTTTACTGTCTACAACGAGATCGATTCTAGATCATTAGCTACGATACAAGCCCTAACCCTGCCTCCTCTTTGCCGTATCCGCCCCCAAGTAGTCAATCGGGTTTCTGCACAACGGGCAAGTATTCTGACTACTCGTCTGGAACCACTTGTACAGGCACGTCCTGTGGAACAGGTTCTTGCACGTACTGCACTTCTTATCAGGCATACGCTTGTCCGTGGAGATGATGCTGTAGCAGATTGCGCATTCGCTCTGGCCCTTGAGCGCGCCGATGATGTTGCGCTTGAACACCTGGAGGCCATCTATGATGCTGCCGTTGGAAAACGTAATGACGCCCTGCGTGGTCATGATCCAGCTCTGCCACTTGCGCTCGTTGACTGCCACGCGGGTAAGGCTTGAGACGGTCACGCTCTCGATGGGGTAACTGGCCGGGATTTTGATGACAATGGCTGCCTGCGACTCGTCCACCTCGTATCCCGCCGTGACTTCCCTGGCCGGCCTCGACACCTTGACTAGGAGCTCCTGCTCGTCAATGCCCGGTGGTTCTTGCTGGTCCGCCCAAAGTTGCACTCCGTCCAGGGTCTCGCCGATGATGATTGGGGACAAGTACTTCGTTGTCCACGACTCTACAGCGATTCGGGTCTGTTTCGAGCGGCAGTTGATGTACCACATTCTGAACAGACCGGGAATGTACTTGAGAGTGAGGTAGTACAGATGGATGAGTAGCCAGTGTAAGCTCTGTTCCCCGCTATCTGCCTCTGCTAATTTAATGTCGTAGTCGCAAATCTGCGTAGAGCCAATATGTTCTTTGTCGAGGTTAAGTGGATGAGCAGCTGAGTGGCCCAAAACATCAAACGTAAAGTCCAGCAGGGGGCTAATCAAGTCCTCCGCCTTCAAATGTTCAGTAAAGTCATTTCGAACCTTGAACGACGACGATGAGTACGCGTCAAACACCAGTTTCCACGACAGCAAGTAGCCACGTATTGAAGATGGGAACAGTGACAGCGATTCGTCTGAAAACTTCTCCAAGGTTGGTGGATCGAGGAAAAGGGAGAGGAGTTCATCGGGTAAACGGGCGTCTGTGATAGTGTTAGCTGTCGTCACTTTCCCCCCCTCTTTCCATATTCGTGCATGTCTCTGTACGTGCGGTACATACCAGTCTTGTCTAGAAGCACTTCAACAGACTTTTGCTCTTGTTCAGCAGGAATCTTTCGGTGAAGGAGGTTGAACGAGGCTGTTTGGATATCTCTCGATTCGGAGGCAATCAAACTGAAAAGTTCTTCGGGTTCAGGTATTCTGCTGACGGGAATCTTTTCCGCTTCACGGCAAATAATTCCATTGACAATCTCGAGTGCCTGCGACTTGGCCCCCGGGCCTATCCTGAGCAGCCCAACCAATCCCGTAGACTTTGCAAGAGCAAACTCTCGCAGCGCATCTTCGAGGTCGTCATTTGGCTCCGTTATACTCTCCAGAGTCTTGACCAGTTTGAGGGAGGCGTGAATGGCCGGGAGGGCATCGTCAAGATTAGCATTTGTGGCTCGGTTCCAAAGGCTTGTACAGAACTGCAGTGTTGTCTCCCAATAAGATCCGTAAACGTCCTTCATGCAAGGTAAAAGAACGTTAAGAGCACGGCAGATGGAAGCACTTAGACTCGCGCTAAGTTCAGTGGGATCGTCTAACCACGAAGCCACCTGTCTGACCGCAAACACGATGCGGTTATTAGCCACGGGAAGCTCTCCAGTTTCATAAACTTGACCGGTAATTGCCAGAAGCGCCAAGGTCAGCTCCGTCTTTTCATGGCCCGGCGTGTTTCCTGCGACTTCGCTCACTAGCCTGTTACAAAAGTTGCTTACTGCCTTTGAGGACTGTGCCGCTTCCCCAAGACCACTGATTAGACCTGCGGCAAGCAGAGCACTGTCAGGCTTTGCTTTGAGATTGTCCAATTTTAAGAATTGCTCCTCCACTGAGCTCGGCATCCCATGAATTTCAGTGAGTGCTTGGACGAGGTCGCTCAACAGCCGCGCGCTGTAGACACCCCGAGAGGAAAACTCTCGAGATTCTTTCATTGCGAGGTCCATAAGGCCTCGGACGATAGAGGACGGGTTGCTGTCGAAGCCAGCAGCTGATTGCCAATCATTTGCCTTGGAGACAATGCTGTGGATTAAATGCCGTGAAGATGAGATCATCTCCTCAGCTTCAGAAAGCGTGTCTGTCGAATCAAGTGACAGCCACAAGCTACTGCGGCTCATTGTCGTGATTTGGTCAGAAGCTATCTGGGTTGAAAGGCCTAGGAGATACAGAAGTTCAACTTGGAACTCTCGGGGGAGTTGGAGGTGCTCCAAGTCGTTCTTGATCAGTTCACAAGTGTACAGGGCCATCCTCGCTGGAACAGATCGGCCATCGCGGTCGCGAGGCAAACGCAGAGCCGCGTTTTCGGTACTCCCTGACTGGGGCAAACACACCATCCCGCCAATACTGCTTGTTATCGACAAGGACGGGTTAATGGGCGCATCTAGTAATGGTGCCAAGTGACCCATCCAAATATTGGTGCTAGGTAATATGCTTTCCCAGGAAGTCGCATTGCTTTCCACTGCGGTCTTTGCCTGTGACACTAGGGTGCGAATACTAGAGGAATTGTTAGCATTGCCCAAAGACAGGGACAATAGTTGGGACCAGTAATATACCCGAGAGATTGAGGTCCAGCTTTTTCGAGGCTGGACTGAATGATATCCACGACGGGCAATTTGCCTTGGGCTTGGCCGTCCAAGAGAGAACGAATTGCGGCGACTTTTGGAGATACATTAGAGTCGTTGATTTCTGATAAGGAAAGGAGCTGAGAAACGAGATCGGTGTGAATCGGCTCTTCGGAAAACAGCTGTGCCTTGGACTTGGCAATTGTTTCAAGCATCCGAAGGATCAGCTCCAGCTGGGATGTCTGCTTTGACAACCGGTTCACCAGTTCCGATACCAGCTTGCGACCCGCATTATCACTAAGCGCTTGATGTACACAAGCCGCGTCAAGCAAATCAAACGCATCAGATTCCCCATTCAAGGCTTCCAAGGCCTGGTTGTACAACATATCTTGCAGAGCCATGTCTTCTGCGGCCAAGGAAGAGGCCTGTTCCTGAGAGATCAAGCCTGCGAGGGCGGCATTCCGTGCGCTCTGGCTAATATTGAGCCTCAAAATCTCAGCCACCCACGTTCGCCAGATTTTCTCATACGTCTGTGTTTGGCCTTCTATTGAACCATATATACCAAGGGCAGACAACAAGTATCTTGCTGAGGCGGTTTCGACCAACATGCCCAATCCATCCTCTGCCACGGCAAGGAAAAACGAGGCCAAGTTCCATCCATTGTCGCCGGAAAATAAATGCTGTGATGTGCTCAGCGCGTACTCTATTATTTGTGCTGCACCAAAGGGTTTCATATTTCGGCTCTCTAGTAACGTGGCGCACTGCGTGATTACTCGGTTGGAAGGACCAGTAGTCTGGTCAGGCAGGGTTGGCCTAAAGCCTCCCAATTTGGCAAATATCTCACCAACAAGACCAAACCACCGCCGCCCTTGTTCTCCGATATTTGTTTGGGAAGCCCTGTATTCTTTGGACACTTCTGGTAGGGAACCTGAGATGTTGGTGCATAAGAGAGTGCCTAGCCGTTCCCATTCTTGAGCTGAGGCATCAACGAGATTAGGCGATGACTGAATCACTGCCAGGTGAAGTTCGACAAAGATGGACATGGCATTTGGCCCAGTTGGTATTGCGTTGGTTTCAGAAGTCGACAATAGGAATTGTTCGAAAAGAGGGAACAGGTGCTCCTGCACAAAAGATAGTTTATCCTCGCCAGTCAGTTGTTCAATCGATCGTTTGGCAATGTCGGCGAAACACTTCCATGAGTACGAGGTGTTTGTTCGAGGCTCCTCACGGTTTGTGATTCCTGCCTTCACGGACGCCAACAGTTTGGATGAAGTCTCGAGTCCAAGGGCATCCGCCGGAATAATGGCAATAAGTTGATCAAGAACTTCCCAGAAGTTTGGCGGGCTGCCTTGTGAACCTTTAGAAATGAAGGATTGCAGGCGTGTCATGGGTGGCTTTTTATCCGCTGGGCCAGACACCCAAAAAGAGGGATCTTTCTGCGTCAGTTTTGTCAAGGCTCTGACATATTCGAGCGCTGATCCTGCTTGGCTAGTTTTTAAGCCTCCAGTCACAAATGCCTGTTTCGCCTTGGTAGTCGCGCCGTAGGGAAGCTGACGATCCAGGCACGCAAACAACAGCTGACAGACAGTCTTTCTAACTGCCGAGTCTTTGAAAGTAATGCTCTTCCAGACGGCTTCTTCGCTGAAGTACTCGTCATATTTTCCCGCAAATTTTTGCACACCTGCATCGTCAACCTTTTGAAGCAAGCCCAAGACCAAGGACAAACTTGACGTCACAACCCTAAAGTATTTGGCCTCGGCATCTTCGACCGTCGTGGACCGCTCGTCGCTGAGGGTGTCTTGGGTTTCTCGAATAGCTTCGATGGCGAATTCTAAAATCTGCGACTGGCATTTAACCCAGAACGCCTTCATCTTCTCTGGTGTGGTAAGAAATGATGCAAGTCCGTCGCTAGCAGCCCTTGCCACAACTCGATCGCGGTCATAGAGTCCTGCAAGCCATGGGCCAACAATCTTTGGCACATGGCGTTCCATGCGCTTGCGGGCCGAGCGCAAAAGTTCTGACTGCAGCGCGTGGGATAGCTCCCGTACGCGCCTGGAGTTGTCTACAGAAGTGCGAGCGTATATTTGTGTCTGCCACATGATTGTTAGGATGGCGAATTCTTTCTCTCCGAATTGGCCTTATTGGGCTTTCAAAGGATTCCGACATACCCATATGTCGAGCAGAGCTTCTTCAACCCCACCATCCTGCTCAAACGGATGCGATTGCGCATTTTGGACAAGATCCTCCAGGCCCTTGGCCTTGGTAATACTATCCTTCTTGAGGACATTCTTCAGCGACACAATGACATTGGGGTCCGACACGGCGGCAAAGGATGGAGGTTCCGCAAGATATGACAGAGAAGTTCCAGGCACAGAACCCCCGAAGCCAAAGCCACCCCCGCCAGTCGACGAGCCAAAGCCCCGCGGTCCGCGCTTCATGACGAGCGAAATTCCCGGGCTAGAGACGGAGTTTTTGTGGCGATGCGGATGCGGATTGCGGAAACATGGAGACTGTCAGACACGGCAGTAGAGGTTGTAGGAGCTCGAGCTATATAGCTTGGAGCGGCATCGCGTTTTGTCATCGGCAAGTGGCTCGCAGTGGCTTGAGATTGAGATCGAGGTCCAGCCTGGCCTCCTTCCAGCTCAAGTGCTGGACTCGGTACTCAGTGCTGGCTTCAGATGGTGTGGCCCAGCAAATGATGTCACGGCGGGTGGATTCAGACGGCTGATCACTGTCATCACACACGCAGAACAGTCATACCGAAGGAAGCCAAAAAAAAAAGGGAAAAAATTATTGTGGGCCTCCAAGCGCAAATCGACCAGCAATCATCTCGAGGCTTCAGTGTTCCAAAGTCAAGGGCTTACCATATTTTATAATTTTTCCAGAGGTAGTGGTGCAATAAATTATGCTTGGAAGAATAGGGATGCTACATGAACCAGGTCTCAATTTTGGTAACCACTGTCAGAGAATACGTAAATGCAGCATACCTTGTTCCACATTCCGTATCAGTCAGGATGGGAGAATGCTGACCGTCGCACAACTACCAAGACTGGCTCCCCTCCATTTTATTTTACTTGAATTAACGCCTTCTTTCTTCTTGGTGAGACCGGCAGCTACTGGTCCTTGGCAGCGTGTGCCGCATACCTCCTATCAAGGTGTCAATTGGCTAAAGCAAACCAGCTCTGCGGCGCAACTGCGCTTGTATGTGTAGAGGCTACACATCAAGACATTATCTTGTCGTAAAACACACATGCTTTAGAGCCTATTTAAGGGTCAGCTTACAAGAAGAAGAAGAAAAGAAAGAAAGAAAGAAAGAAAGAAAGAAAGGGCACACTGGCTCCGTCAACGCAGAGAGCATTTAACATACCTCCTCGGCGGTATCTCTCCTGCCAGACTCAAAACACACCAACCTGCTCACAAGGTTTCTAAACTCCTCATCCACTTCAGGCAAAATATCAGCCCAATCACGTTGTGGAAATACGGTCCAAAGCTCAAACGGAGTGACCTTGAACCCCTTTGCTTCTGGCCAAGTCTCTGGCGTCGGGGTGCCCATGGTCTTGAAAATACTCAGTATCAGACCAAGCTGATTGCCGTCTTCGTGCGCGGGACGTGATTCGAACGGCGGTACCGGCGGCGACGAAATAACCTCTGCGAGCATGACGCCCAAGGCCCACATGTCGACCGATGTGCCGTAGCCCTTATTCCCGAATAATACTTCTGGGGCGCGATACGCTCCTGTGCCAATGTCGAGGACCTTGTCATTTTGCGGTTCGGTATAGCTAGATAATCGGGGGTGCCAGGTAGTCCCAAAATCAGATATGTACGATGGGCCAGAGGGGGACTGTAACAGTACGGCCGAAGGCTTGATATCGCGATGAACAATGGCGTGTTTGTGCATGAATGTCAGCCCGGTGAGAACATCTCTGAATATGGATCTCGCTTGACTGAGTGATATCGATTTAGAAGAGATGAGATTGTCCAGCGTCATGGGCAGGTATGGGAAGACAAGAACAAAGCGCTGTTCTTGGTCCCGGAACGTCTCTGTGAGGGTGATGATCTTTTCAGGCACTGGGGTTAGAGAATGCAGTTCTTGAAGAATCGACGCTTCTCTTTGGGGGTTATGTGGTTCAATATTGTGCTGAATGATTACTTTTAGGACACGGTTGTTTGAGCGATATACTTCAGACGTGACTCCGTCTGCGATGAGGGTGCAGTTATTATATTTGCCAATACGGATGCCTGTATCTGAGGGTGATGGAGAATTGTCCTTTGACTTGCGAGAACCCGCATTAACCATTGCATCATATTCATCCTGATATCGTCAGCCACGATGATGTGAAATTGAAGCATGGTTGAAGCAGTACCCTTGTAGATGAGTGCTGATAGGCATCTTGCTCGATGGATATGGCGTCGCTGCGTTTATCGGGGGATAAGGTCTCTTGGCTAAACCAATGAGCGGCTGGGTGAATTGAAGATACTGGCTGTACTTACAGGTTTTGTATTACTTTGTATCTGTCAAGAGCGGAAAGTGAAGATTTCCAGTCCGACATGGTGGAATGTAGGGCCAATGATATGCATGTTGGAGAATAACCCGTCACTTGGATGTCGGGGAATAGAAGTGTGGGGCTTGACGTCAAAATACCACCTCGTGAGCACGAGGCATGCAATTCTGCATGAGGCGACCAGGGCTGCCGCTCGAGTACAATTTGGTTTAGCGGGGATTTACTAAAAAAACTAAAGCGAAAGCAAAGACAAAAAATATTCTACTACATAATTCAAAGCAAATATGCACGCCAAAATGTGGAACGATATAAGCTCGCAAATCAAGGACGTTGTACTGCAGGAGAGCTATAGGGTACTTGGGGTCTTGGGTAGCAGAGTACCCCGTACGCATGTACTAGTACTAGTCGAATGAAGCTCCGTCGAGCTCCAAGCTCAACTTCAACTAGAGCTTTCTTGGGTACCCGGCCCTCCTAGCATCAAATGGCAATGTACACAATAAAGTCGTTTACCAACCGGAATCGACCCCTTCAGCTACTGCACGGAGCATAGTTACTCAACCGTTTGCTGTCTATTCCGTGGCGAGGACGACGGCGCAGGTCTCAGTTTTTTCAACAATTTGATGCAGCTGACGGAAAGTGGGGCGGCGGGTAGAGGGCCAGGAGCCAACCAAGGGCCAGCCAACGGCAGCACTGAGGAGGAGCACCAGAGACAACAAGGACCATTGACGAAACTTTGTGGCAGCCGGGAGCACAAAATCTGGGGTGCAAGGGGAAAGGAAGAGGAAGGAAGCCAGAGATGATCAAATGCCCTGGAGGCACCCGGTCCATCAAGATCAAGTCCGTCGGACCTCCCTGGCGCTCCCACGGCCCAAAACTACTCCAGAAGCCTGACTGGACTTGCAGCCTGATTGACGGCATAAATGTGGTTTGATTGATTGATGAATGACATGGACCGGCCTTGGCCCCTGTCGTCATGCATCGAGTCAAGTAGCCTCCCGGTCGAGGTACGGAGTAACTCCGTACCTGCTCGAGCAATCAAGCCTCGTCCAAGAGCTCCAGCCGCGTCGACCGACTTCCTGTTTGGCCAGACATTCCCCAGTCTCCGTTCTCCATTCCATCTGCTCCATGGCCTCGTCCATGTCCATGTCACCACCAACTTCATCTCCTCATCGCCTCGTCACTTGGTAATTGCTGACGGGCCACTCCCTCCTCCTCCCGGTGTCGCCATGCACCAGCTTTTCTAGTCGCTGCAGTCTTATTGAGCATCTGTATTTTATCGCTGCCCTCAATTGTTTCATCAACACCGATTAAGCCGCCGCCCACCATGGAGGACATGGCGAGGTCCGACTATCCCGCCATGCTGGTAAGTGCAGCTCTACCCACGAGAAGACGGCTTGCCTTGCCCAGCCTGCCAGCCTGCCGACTTTCCACTCTGGCCACTGGGCAATTGAATCTCTCCCGAGATGCTGACTGTTGTGATGTTTTTCTCGGTTCCAATAGGCCCATTTGCAGCCTGGTCAGGCGGTTCAGACCCTCAACGATCGGGTGAAGCGCATCAACAAGGTCAACCTCGAAATTGCCGACTGGCTTCAGGTACGCATCCATACCCAACGTCCAAATCCAACGGCTTAGTTCGACTAGCCTGGGGTTTGCCGTCCCCGATATGCGCCATTGACGATGCCTCGCCTGGCTAACGTTTCGCTCCCGCTACCTACCAACTAGGAACGTCGTCGCATTGAAGAGCAATATGTGCTAGGTCTGCGAAGGCTCGCACAGAGCAGAACCCCGAATTCACAGTCCGAACTCGGGTACGTCATCACCTTTGCTTGTTGGCCACAACATCCGACCCTGTCCTATCACTAAGCCGTATTGCGACACCTCCCAAAGCTTGCTTCACCACTAACCTCGCTCTTTTCAGTGTCTTCCAAGTTCCCTGGACTCGAATTGTTGACGCCGTCGAGCGCATTGCCCAGTCACACCACGTCTTCGCCGAAAGGCTCGAGAGCGATGTCGAGCACCCCTTGCGCTTGTATCAGCAGCGGCGAGACTACCAAAACATGCATAACATATCCAGCAACTTGACGGCAATGGCGAGAGACCTCGAAGGTGCCCAAGACAAGTCGGATAAACTAAACAGGAAGGGCGCCAAGGCCAGCAGCCAAAAGGTTGATGAGGCTTCGGCCAAGCTAGAATCGGCTGCGCAGCAATGGGAATCCCAAGCACCCTTTATATTTGAGTCCCTGCAAGCTGTCGACGAAACCCGCGTCAACCATCTACGAGATGTGCTGACCCAGTACCAAACCCATGAGACAGACCAAGCTCAGCGAGTTCAAGAAATTGCCGCCCAGACACTTGCTGTTGTGTTGGAGATTAATACGGAGAAGGAAATCAAAGATTTTGTGGCAGGTACAGTCGCTGGCAAGCCCCTTGCTGCAACGAGGACATCTACCCGTCGTGCCTCAATTGCTGGACGACAGCCTTCCCTAGAACAGCCTCCTCCCATGCCACATTCGGACACGATGAACTCCACGGCATCGGCGACTATTCCTCCTCCAACTAGGGGGTCTGTTTCACAGCAATCGCATCACGATGACGACGCCAATGAGCAGCTCCCCACAGACCAGCCCAAAGGTACTTTACATCTAGTATACCCCCTGCTTCCCCTTCCATGTACTGACCTGTTGAAGAATCCAAGCTTCGTAGACTGGGTACCCTGTTCGGTGGTCGACGACGACAGAGTGTTCACGGTGGTTTTGGGAGCCTTTCACCTGGCAAAGGTGGCGGCATTACATTTGGTCGCCTTGGGAGCAGTCATGGACGGGGTGTTTCTCCTCGCACATCATCGACCAATCTACACGAGTCGGGCCGTCTAGCCTCTCTAGCCGAAAGTCCTGATACCCCTACAGCATCCACCCATGAAGAATCCATTAACGATCGAAACCGACTCCATGAAGCTACCAACGGCGTACACACAAAAGATGGAACAGAAGCTTCAGGCGTAAATGGGGCACGGTCAACTGACGTTTTTGATGTACCTCCACCCCCAGGACCACCTCCGACTCAGCAGACTGAGAAGACTGGCGGCCCGACTAAAGATGAAGAGGGCTTCACTGTCCGGGCGCCGATGAACGATCCGATTTCTGAAGCTCAGAGAGAAGCAGCAGGCGAAGAGGCCGATCAGCTGTTCAAGTTGAATATTCAGAATAAACCCGTCGAGGAAGAAGATCCTGAGGCCAAACAGGCGGCACTGTCAAGCGTTGCCAATACCCTGAAATTGGGACCAGCGACTCGTCGGACTAGCACCATACGAGGAAGACGAGATGTTAGAAACACTGTATTCGTACCACCTCCTGGAGGAACTCAAACCGAGCCTTTTCTACCCACTATTTCCGCTTCTCCCCCAATGCCAAGCGGTGCATCGTTTATGCGATCTCCTGCCATGAATGCTCTGGCTTCAGAAACCAGCACTGCTGGTACTTCAGACAGCCAATCCGTTCGGTCTGGGCATTCCTTGGGCAGCTTGGCCCATGCCAAGCATCCAGAGCTTACTGGACCTGGTTTGCAAAGCTCTATAATCGAGACGGTCTCTGCTACTTTCGAGGATGGCGTTGTCACGAGTGCCAATATTGCTGGTGAGCTGGCTTTTGTCAATAATGATGCTGATATTTCTTCTGAAAAGAGTGCGTTGCGTTGCGTCCCTGCCATTTTCGCCCATACATACACTAACAATGCATAGCCCACGAAACTATTCGAATAAATAATTTCCCTAAACTAGAACGTATTGGACCAAACCGCATCTTTGTCCAAAACGCCTCACCGGATCAGCCAGACCAATATGCCCTCGATCTTTCGCATCTTGCAAAGACATCTATTGCATTCTCATACAAGGTCTTTTCTGACGACTCTGACCCATCAGGCCTAGGAAAGCATTGTCCTTTGCTACTGAAGCCAGTATGGAAGCCTCAGGAGGACAAGTTGGGTTTATTGCTGCAGTATCAACTCAATCCAATGAGCACCTTTACCGCACCAATCACGTTGCACAATGTCGTCTTTGTAGCCAGATACGAGGGCAAAGCTATTTCTGCTCAAACCAAGCCCAGCGGAACACACCTCAAGGACAAGCACTTAGTGTACTGGAGACTGGGCGACGTTACTCTGACCAGTGACATGCAAAAGATTGTTTGTCGGATCGTGGGAGCAGAGGGCATCTGCCCATCACCTGGGCATATAGAAGCCCGGTGGGAATACACGGCATCGGGAGATGCCCTGGTTGGTAGTGGCATATCGGTGTCACGACTTGCAGACAAGGGCAAGGGCAAAGAACTCACCGACGATGATCCGTTTGCTGACGCGGGATCGGCAACCAGCCAGACATGGCTGGATATTCCTGCGATTCGGAAACTCGTCAGTGGAAAGTACGAGGGTAAGTGAACAGAGTGGAGGATGGGCGAAAGCGTGAGATCTGTATATGGAGAATGAGTCCAGGTGAGGGTGTGTAATTTGAAAAGTGTAGCGGTGCTTCATCATGGCGGAACAGCTTTCTTTTTCTTCTTTTTTTTTGATATCAATCCAGCTTATTTGTCGTCATTCTGCTACACGCCCCGTTTTCTTTGTCTCGTATATTGGGGAGGCCACGACGTGTTGAAGTGGAACATGAGCGTGCTGGCAAGCCTTGTGTACCATGTTACGTGCTGGTGGCTGACGACTAGGCTGCAACGCTACGTGCACTTCGTTGCCAGAAATACTGCACAGGGGTCTTTTGTTTTATAGAATCGGGATACAGGGAGTTTGCGGACCATTCCTTGGGTGACGTTGTATTGGGAATAGTAAGCGTGTGCATTACAGTTACGAGATAGTCAAACATGACAATTTACTAGTTTTGTCCACGAAGCCTTGATGTGAGAGTCAGGCCATGCGTGCACGGCCTTGTGGTGCCGGCTGACTATTTCATATTGTATAATGCTCGTCTCGTATATTATCCTTTGCCCACGTCCATCTCACAAAATGAAACGCAGCTCATCTATTGACACCAACTCCGCAAGAATCGCAAATGTACCGCCCAATCTATACAACCAATGCCAAGGCCTGAATGCTCGCCGCAGGCCATCCGTAATGTACATGAACCCCACGTCACAAAGGAAAATGTAATGCCGATACGATGCTGTTATTCTGTTTTTTGCTCCCCATCCTTTCCATCTTTTTCTTTAATGCTGTCACTTCCTTGCTTCGCAGACCCCTTCCCCTGGGCCTTTCCCTCCCTCCACTTGGAAAATTTCTCTCCCAGATAACGCCATGTCCTGGCCCATCCGCCCATTATGGAACCCTTGATGGACTGTGTAGTGCTGGGCCAGTTGACAGTTTGCTTAATCACTTGGCTAACGATTTTGCGGAGTTCCTGAGGGTCATCGGAAACAATGCGCTTTTCGAACTCACCACCTCGTCGGCGTTTAATGGATGTGCTTTCGTCATCGGCGGTCGCCGCCATCATCTGATTGTACTCTTCGCGAGGTATAGAGAACTTCTTCTGATACTGGAAATACAGCCTGGACCGGAAGTTCTTGGGCAGCCGGCGGACCATGTTCCCTCGCTTGATGGGATCCATGTCTTGCTGGAGCACGCTGTCTGCCGTGGGGTCTAGCACCCAATCCTCGTCATCCAGGCGGCAAGAAGCTGTGAAGTTTACGTTGGGGAGAGTTTTGATGAGCGGCGCGTAGAGCCGTCGAAAGTGTACGACGTTGTTGTTGACAATATTGGCGACCTTGCTCTTGTTCTCTGTAGGTAATGCCATGCGAGGATCACCCATGTAACTCAGGCCGGCGATAGTACTGTACAGGTCGGTTTCAGTGAATTGAGGAGGTAAAAGAAGCAGGGCCGTGCGGACTGCAGCAATGAGGTTGTGCTGGTTGGCGAGCCGGACCTGAGGGTGGTCGCGGAGAATTTTGACGGGTTTTTGCAGCCGGCCTGCAAGGTACAGGTTGTCCCAAGTTGACAAGTCCTTAACCAAATTGTCTATGCTGGTAACGCCGTATTTGATCAACATGCCATTCACTTCAACATATGGATTAAAGTATACACCCGCGCCCCAGTTTTGGACCCTCGACACCAGACCGGACCCAAGAGAAGCAATTCCCGAGTAGTGGTCGCGGTGTTGTCGGATGTTTATCGAGTGCCAATGCTGTGTGTGGCTGACGCCAAATATGAAATCGATCATCTTGGGCGATCCCTTTTGCGCCTTGACTAATGCTTCCGGTGGCTTCGGATGGACGGCTCGAAACTCGGCCTCGGTGATGCTGCGGCTGATGTCGTCTTGGGGAAAAACACCAGATCCGTATGCAAAACAGTACACGATCGGCGCATTGAATTGCCGGAGCATTATGCGTAGCGCTTCTTTGAGTTCGTAATTAATGATCATGTGCTGGTTGACACCGAATAACCGGTGGGGAAGATCCTCAAAGGACTTGATTGCGAAGTCGACGGAATCTTCCCAATCATCGCCATAGAGGTTGAATTTACCCCCGGCAGACTCCTTTTTCTTAGCTAGACTGGAAGTGGTCGTGCTCGATTGCGTTGACGGCGTTGATTTTGCGCTGGCAGAGGCAGCGGATGAGTCGGTTGTTGAATTCGAATACCATCTTGGCTGCTCTAGCCTCATTCGCCGACTCGGACGTAGAGAAGCTCGGGAAAGGACTGTTTGTGAAGAAATAATTCGAGCAGAACGGAGTGTGATGGAGGGGGCTAATCGACTTGATGCCACGGCGGCCTACACAGTCCAAGGTTAGCCAAAAACCACGACTGCTGGAGGGTGGTTCCAGGAGGTGGTTGTGTACCGTCAGGCCAAGCTCAATGACTACCATTGCCGTTACGCGTCCAAGGCTGCGAGGAAACAGGCTGTGAGAATTTACCAGTTTTCTCAATGATTATCACCGGATAGGTCAAAAGAGACTTCGCTGCAAAGAATAGCATCACCTAATAAAGACGCAGATCGAACCACAGTATGTCGGTAACTGTTTGACAAGCTGCAGATTGCATGAGCCAGATACACGCAACGGTTGAAGTGTCAATATGTGGATGACAGAGTAGCAAAGGACCGGCACTAGGTCACTCGTCGACTGCGAAATGATGGGCAATTGCAAATTTCGATGAAGACGTTCTGGCCCTCTGGCTGCGTCTCACAGGTCCAAGATGTTGGTGCGTCGATGGAACCATGTTCAATCGTCTTGAGCCTTTCGGCTTTCGAGGAAATCTGGAGCCCCAGAACTTGTGCAAGTCCCCGAGGGAGCTGCGTTGCTCTGTAGAGGGGGTCCACCTTGGCTACCACAGAGTACTCCATACTTTGAAGGGAATGCAAGGCAACTGACCAATCAAAATATATCCTGTTCGGATACCATGCCACTGCGATGCGCAAGTACAGTGAAATCATGTGCTGGCAAGATGAGTGCAGTGCGGCGTCGCTTTCGCACCCGAGATTTACAAGTTGTTTGTTGTGTGAGTGCACGCTGCTGTTTTTTTAAGAGCAATATTTTAGCTCTGCAGTGCTTCTATCAACTCTATATGGACTAGTTCTTCCTATGGAGGATTTATCCTGGCGCTTGACGTGGATTGACCGAGGCTCAATAGCATGCTCAGGTTTTGTCCCGTCTTCGGGTGCGCATTGATCTGGAAGCAAGTCTGCTTCATACCACAACCCACCTAGGCGTCTTTCTCAGTAGGCATTCAAGTAAGAAGGGTATTTGCGAGCTTGATAAAAGCATTAGCATTATGGACGTAACCTTGGGTTCCCAGCCTGTTCATCGGAGGGCTTCTTTCCCCTGTTTGATCCCTACGAAGGCACAGTGAGCCTGACGGGTAGTAGTCCATGCGTATGAGCTTTCTCGTTGAATGTCCGTGATGGATGAGGGGCTTTGCAGCTGCAAGAAATACATAACACTATCACTATCTACTTAGTACTGACAAGCTTCATATCTTCGCCCTGCCAAGATCTGATAGGACAAAATGATCACGTGACTACGAGAAGCTGTCGCGAGAGAGCTTTCGCGGAAGGCCCCACAGCAGCAACATCTACGACATCAACAAAAAGTGCAAGCGCGTGGAATCAGCAATGCGAGGCCAGCCTCGGAACGAGGGGGAGCCTGCTGCATCCCGTGGTCAAAAAAGCACAATGTCGAGTAGACTGCGAGCAACTGCGCCATCCGGCGCTCCAAGAGCGCAAGGTCGTTCAAGGGTGAGTTTCCACAGTCTTCCGACCGATCAGATTACCACTTTATTAGATGTTGCCCTTTGTTTTGATGAGACTCTCACACAATATTCAGATAGCGTCATTCAGGGCTACCCAGCCCTCATATAATTTGATCACGGGCGCTGAATCCAATGCCCGACCATCTTCCAGACAAAGCCAGACTGCCGAATCTTTGCGCCCTGGGTCGCGGGATAGCTCCAAAGAAAACATGGCTCCTCCAGATGCTGACGAGTATGAAAAATATCGCAAAGAAATAGAAGCCCTCAAGGCAGAAATTGGGACTTTGCATTACCGTATGCAAACCGCAGACCAAGAAAAGGAAATTGCACTGTCTCAGCAGTCTAATAAGTTGGAACAAGCTCGACGACGCGAGCAGGAGGAGCTGCAGCAAAGGCAGATGGCTGAAGCAGACAAAGACAAAGCTGCTGGATTAGTGGAGTCTGTCAAGGCCGAGATGGACGAACTGCGAGAGCGATCGCAATCAGATTACAAAGCTCTGGAGCGGAAGGCCCGTGAAGCACAGGACGAAGCTCGGCTGCTACAGGAACAGCTGGATGACTTGTCAACAGCCAAGGACGATGGAGCGAGAATCGCTGATAGGAAGATGAATGACATGCAGATGCAGATAACCGCCCTCCAAACTTCTATTGAAGAGTTGGAACAGGAGAGTCAATCCAGAGAGGAGAATGTTCAGCAAGCCCACTCTGTTGTCGCGGAGAAGGACTCCCAGATTGCAAGGTTGGAGGCAGATGTTCTTCGACTGAAAGCGCAAAGTGGAGATGCAGAGACTATGGAAATTATCAAGAGGGAGCTATCCGAACAAGTCCAGCATATAAGGGCTCTGGAGGCTACCAACCGTGACCAATTGAGCGAGCTGAAGCACCTCAGGGCCGTAAGCAAGGCTGTAGAGGTTGTGGAAGAGGAGAAGAGGTCACTGCAGCGGAAGCTGGAGTCTGCAGAGTCCCTTGAGGCGGAGCTGGCAGAAGCTAGGCTACATCGACAACGGTTGGAAGACGAGCGCCTTGCCTGGGCATCGTACCTAAAGCATTCTTCAGAGGCAGGCGATGAATTTGAGTCCCCCGAAGCAATGGCCAGAGCCTTGATGGAAGAACGCCTGACAGCAGCTTCTTATGTAGAACAAGTGGGAGCTATGCGAGCAGAAGTGAGTGCTCGTGAAAACTCAATTCAATTACTGCAGGTGGAAGTCGGGCAGCTGAAAGATCAGTTGGAGAATGCGAAGGCATCAGCTGGCATGCTATCCACAGATAAGGCACGCCAGCGCATCGATCGACAACGCATTCTAGCTGTTAAAGAGGCCGAGTATTTGCGAGCGCAAATTAAAGCTTTAGATGATGAGGACCAAACTATGCAGCCCGAGAAATACGACGAGACACGAGTAGCGCGAATTCAAGAACTAGAAAACCTTGTTGAGCAGTACAAGGCCGAGGTTCAAAACCTTCACGCTGAACTGTCGTCTTTGGAGCCAGCTACGGGCGCCGCAACACCACAACCCTTATCAGGAACTAAACGCTCTCGACCGGAAGATGATGACGCACAGGAGCAGCTCGGCCAGCTGACGCGGAAAAATAGGAAGCTCCAAGAAGACATCACTGGGCTACAAACAAAGGTCACCATGTTGGAAAAAGATCTCTCCACAAGCAAGGAACAACTGTCCGCTGCGAAGGAGCGCAATTCAACAAGAGTCTTGTCGCTGAGATCAAACCCAACCTCGGACCATGAAGCTATCAAACGCAGTACCCTGGAGGCGCTCAAAAAAGAGAACTCGGACCTCTTGTTGCAACTTCGATCCAAGCACTCCAACCCGGCAGTAGCTGTCATCCCAACATCGGTCCTTGGTGCGATGGAGAGAGAGATTGCCGCAGCCAAGGCTGAAACGGCTTCAGCCCAAAAATCAGCCAGACGACTCAAGGAAGTTTGGGCTTCCAAATCCCAAGAATTCAAAGAAGCCATCTTTTCTACGTTGGGATGGACCGTCACATTCATTCCTAATGGTAAGATGAGAGTCGAAAGCACCTTCTTTCCGTCACAGACTGACGAGCACGAGAACTCCATCGTCTTTGACGGCGAGCGAGGCACGATGAAGGTCGGCGGCGGTCCTAAGAGTCCATTTGCCAGAAGAATAGGCGATCAAATAGGATTTTGGGTCAGGGAGAAAGGCTGCATCCCAGGGTTTCTGGCGGCGCTAACATTGGAATTTTACGAAGAACATACAAGAGCATCACGGGGTTGAAACGCCATTTTGGGGTAATGAATGAATTTGAAGGGACTAACGGTTGGCGGCGCAACTTGGCTGACGTACATATCATACAGGCGTGGCAATTCGTACATATACTTGCGTTGGGGTTTACAATGCGGCATGTATTGGTCCACCTTGACATACATTTCCAGCAGCCGAAGGGACGTTATTTCACAGGAAACACGGAGGTTTGGATTGAATCTGTACACTAGGTATCAAAAAAATGCATGTCTATGAAGTGGCAAGTTGATGCTCATCCGTTGGGTGTGTCAATTCACTACCGTCACAACCGAAGCTTAGTCATGTTGCGCCTCGGCACATGGACGCCCCCCATCTTCCGTCAACGCCATAACCGATCTTCACGTCGCATGTGAGGCGTCCAACCATCTCATACAAACAACTACAAATTTTGACATACTGTCATTTTTCCCTCCCGGTCATTTCGTCCGAGTCCATTCGCAAATGCAAGCGACTTGATTCCCTGCCCCAAAATGGGATTCGCAACCGTCCCTCCCGCACAACCCACCAGCTCGCCTGCTCTCCAAGCAGCATGGGATAAACACTACTCGCACAACTCGTCAACGAGACACCCGGTATTTTTCACAGAGAGACTGCGCAAATCGCCTGCCTCGTTAGGGCCGTGGGCAGGAGGGGTCAATAATCCTGTTGCGCACGGGTACGTGTATCAGGAGGTTCAGAAGGACGGGACTAATAGTCCCAAGTTGTAACGAGGCTTTGGGCCTTTGAGGGGGGCGGATAAACTGGTGGCGTGGAGTGTGAACAATGCGAGGTTTAATGGCAATGAGGACGTGTTTTTTGGTGGCACAGTGTGTCTAATGGACTCTGCGTGGGATAGAAAGTTGGAATTGTGTTTGCCGAGGCTGGCTGAGCACGGCGCCGGGTCTTTTGGAGGATCTAGTCGCGGAGTCTTGGTGACTTGTGCGGCGGGCTCGCGTCCCACAAGAATACTTGTATAAATACAATATAGTAGTGTATACTTTGTGGCAAGAAAATATATTTGATTGCAGAATATATATAACAAGAGTCTGGTGCAAATATAGTATATTATAGGGCGATGGGCGCACCTAGTAAAAAGAGTGAGCCCGCCGAGCCATTCACGAGTCTTGGGTGTGAGGGGATCTATAGTGGGTGTAGGTCCTTTTAGTCGTGGGTACTGGAGGTCAATTTAGAACATGCCTGGAGTCGTGACACTGAGGCGACTCGAAACAAGTGTAAAGTTTGCAGTGCGATTCGCCGGTGAATAAAGGCGTTTTCAATAGCTAGACGACTACCGGTAAAGAAATCGCATCTTCACCTGCTGACAAGTAATAATACAATGACTGTGTGAGAGTACCACCGAGCCGGATACGGGTGCTGTTAGACCCTTGCTTCTAACCAAATGCAACATTGAACGCTCCATCAGAGATTCGAAGACAAAAAACAACAACAAAAAAAGCAAAAAAGAAAAACAAGCATTGTAGTCATGACTTTGCTGCACCAATTCGCCCACCCCCTTCCCAGGTGTCCTTTGCCAGTAGCATTTGTACGGAGTACCATCGACCTCATCCATCAATGACGAATGGAACCTACAATAGGAGCAACAATGAGTGCTATGATTATGATAATCCCAACAGCCAAACAAATCCCCATCTTTCGATCTTTCCACCGCATTCGACTCTTCACATCCGTCGCCCGCCTCTTAAATTGACTTGAGGATTCTGCCAGTGCAGCCGTTTGGTTGTTAAGGACATCAAGATTGTCGCTTCGTGCCTTTACGTTGGTGAGATTTTCGTTTACGATGTTTTTAGCATCTTCTATCCCTTGTTTTAGTGGGGCCAATGCTCTATTCCCATCAGCATTGATCAATTTGTCTGTTTCCTGCTGACGCGACTCGGTGCGATCAAAGGGCATCTTGGAAAAGTCGGTAGTCTTGGAGCTACATTGATATCCGGCACGTTAGAGCTAATGCAAAACAAGATGAATGAGGGTGCCTGGTGAAGCATACTAGAAGAGGTCGCCGTCTTGTCCTTGCTGGATGACTTTTTGTGTTGTAAGTCGGTATGTTGATGGTTGTGCGGGATGGCAAGAACTTTCTCAGTAGCTAGGTGAGATGTCGGGAGAGCATATTCATGTATATACGCACTAGGTAGGCATGCGATCGCAAGTCAGGGGTGCATGGATCTTTTATTAAACAGATAAACAACTAAAAAACCCCCAAACTACACGACGTCATCTTTCCTCGAACAATCAACGGCAAAGGGCACACGGTACACAGAGCATGATGGAGTAACGGTGCTTGTGTGCTAGCATTGACTGTTCAATTTGCCCGCCCGGTGGCGTTTGTGGGGCGTATGAGGACAAAGTCGGTCACGTGAGACAATTTTTGGTCTTGATTGCTGGTCGCATCGTGTATGAGGCCAACAAAGGAGAAGCTTTGATGCCATGGGTTTGCACCTCATTGTTGCTGCATGAGCCACGTCTTCCTTTCACCGAATTGCCTTGATCATATCGAATGAGACACAAAAGAATGTTTGTTGAATTACAACGGCAGGGGACATGATACACCTGTCCCGACAAGTGGCCTGGAGAGCCTGCAGGCTTCACAACAACATTCAATGTCGGGCTGCGTCGACGACTCCGCCCATCGGATTGGGGGGCTCAGCCAAAAAGAAGGCAGTGAAAAAGAAACTGTCTTTCGATAAGGCCGCCAGCAGTCCGAAGCACGAACCGAGACCTGCTTCAAAGGTCGTTGCTCGCTCTCGCGCGAACTCAGTATGCTCAATTTTAGTCAACATCCCCTAGCAAGCAGATGACTGACCGCAACCGTAATGAACAGGTGAGCCAAGGGCATGATCCGAAAAGCAGGTTAAGGCTCGGTGTTGGTAAGAAGTACACTGGTCGCCACGGCGTATTTCGATCCACAGTCCTCCATCGGCTGCAGGTCGTGCTCAACAATCGTTCAGCGTCACAGCCAGCAGGCCAAGGTATAGCAGAAGATGAGTTGAACAGACAAGCGGCTCTATTCATGAATGCGATAGACCATGCCTTTCTACTTGCAGAACAAAACGTCACCCGGCGTGACAAGAACCCCTTGTTTTGGAACCTGCGAGATGCGTTCATCACCCGAGACATCAAGGGCTTAACAAAGGAACTCCAGTATTCTTTCCAGTCCTTCGTGGTTCGACAAACCTTCTCCAAGGAGCTGGAAGACAACCAAAGGCGCCTCCTAGATTTCCGGTTTCCTCACGAGTGGTTTCCGGCGACGCGCACCATGCAGCGCACCATCCACGTGCACGTTGGTCCAACGAATTCCGGAAAGACTTACAATGCTCTCAAAGCGCTTGAAAACTCCAAGATGGGCGTTTATGCAGGACCCCTGCGATTATTGGCTACGGAAGTGTATCAAAGACTCACGGCCAAAGGTCGCCCGTGCGCCTTGATCACTGGCGAGGAAATTCGCATACCCGAGGACACGGACCAATATTTCTCAAGCTGCACCGTAGAAATGGTCCCGTTGAATACAAAGTTCGATGTTGCTGTCATTGATGAGATCCAGATGATTGCCGACCCCGAGCGTGGGAATGCTTGGACAACCGCAGTGCTAGGTGTACAAGCCAAGGAGGTGCATTTGTGCGGCGAGGATCGGACTGTGCCCCTTTTGCAGGCGCTTTGTGCCAGCATCGGCGACAAGTGTGTTGTTCATCGCTATGAACGGCTCAGTCCACTCAAGACGATGGATTCTGCCATCAAGGGTGACTACAGCAACCTGCAAAAAGGCGATGCAATAGTTGCCTTCAGTCGGCTATCACTCCATGTCTTGAAACGAAACGTTGAGACCGCGACTGGTCGAAGATGTGCGATTATCTACGGGTCATTGCCACCTGAAGTTCGGGTGCAACAAGCAGCCTTGTTCAACGACCCGAACAATGACTACGACTTTATTGTTGCCAGTGATGCGATTGGTATGGGCTTGAACCTCGAAATTCGCCGAGTGGTGCTCGAATCAATCACCAAGTTTGATGGCAACCAGAACAGACTGCTCACGTATCCTGAAATCAAGCAAATTGGCGGTCGTGCAGGACGATATAGAACTGCGCAAAGCGCCGTGGGCGTGAATGCTGAGGAAGCCGAGAAGGAAAAGGTCGGCCTGGTAACAACAATGGACCAAGCCGATCTTCGCAATGTTGAGAGAGCTTTTCAGAAAAAGGTCAACGACATTGAATATGCCAGCATACAGCCGCCAGCCGGCATCGTGGAGCGATTTGCATCTTACTTCCCACCAGACACACCCTTGTCATTCATCTTGATGCGAATCAAGGCTGCAGCGACTGTCGGGCCAAGATATCGCTTGAATATCAGCAGTGATGTCCTGGAAATCGCCGACATTATCCAAGACCTCCCGCTCACGATTTACGACCGCCTGACATTCTGCTACTTGCCCGTGGCATTGCGAGCGGAAGGCGCTGTTGATGTCTTGCGCGCTCTTGCGCGAGTTGTTGGCCACAATTCGGCCGGTGACCTGCTTTCTATTAAAGAAATACCACTCGAGTTCTTGGAGGTCAAGATGGAAGACTATCCAGGCGGGTCCCAGGAATACCTATCCAAACTGGAGGCGCTGCATGTCGCAATCAATCAATACCTATGGCTATCCTACCGATACGCCGGCATGTTTGCAAGCCAAGCACTGGCCTTCCACGTGCGACATCTGGTCGAAGAGAAACTCATTACCACACTAGATCGTCTTGATTTCACAGAAGAACAGCTCGAGCACAAGCGGAAGAACAAGCGGCGACAGGCTCGCTCTCGCGATATCAGCCGAAAAGCGATTGGTGAAGACGAAGGTCATGAACTGGAGCATGAGCACGAGCAGGATGACGCTCAACTTCCCGCATCGTCCGGGAAGGGCGAGAAGCTCAGCGGAGGGGGGCAGCATGAAAAGCCAATCGAGGTTGGATCAATGTAAAGTGTGTGTTAATTTGTTAGAAACCGGCCAAAACGGCGTGTATTGTACATCTGAAGAGGGTACGATGGATACTCTTGGTTTTGCATAATGGATGCATTGAAAGGCGTTGAGGATCTGGGGTGGACAAAAGTATCTCTTATAAAACTCCCCTTGTTTACTTAAAGCTGTCACATACATGGACAGTGGATATGCTTGTACACTACTCTTCTTACCTCTTACTCCTGCATTGATAGCTGCTCATGTTGTCTTTAGAAGAGTTGGGCGGCAATGAAAACGGCGGTTTAATGACGTGCGGTGCGAAAGAAAACGGCAAGTTCGGGATGAGGCTGCATGTGCGATTGGCTCTCAGGCTAGTACTTGGCACCAAGCAACATGAGCTGCATGACGAGGTTTGGTGGCGCGGTTCTTGCAAACGCGACTGATGACGGAGCACATGTGATGAGATGCAGAAGCATCATTTATCCTTGCATGTTTGGAAATGCCCAGGCTTGGTTTTCCTCTCAGCCCTTCCCTGTTGTCTTCAATGTCAACTTTCCCAAGTCGTGGCGACTTGCTCTTTCTTTTGTTTGGTGGAATAAAGCTACGCGTGTCTACATGTCGACGGTACATATGTACACCCACTGTACATACCTACCTAGGTACCTAGTAGGTAGCTTATTGAGCTGACACAGGCGACCAGCTCTAGCTCCAGCTCCAGCCCCAGCCCCACTGTCTGTTTTAAATGTCACTGGTTCATGTCTCTTCTTTCCAATACTTTTAAGGCCTCTTTTGTTTGCATTTTGGTCCCCTCTGGCTAACCATCGACCGCACCCATTGTCCAATGCATTTTCTAAACGATCCTGCGATCTCGTCCGAATGAACCGACTGAGTTACACTGAGCATTTGCAGGCGCACCAGTCATAGTTACTAGTCCGGTACAAAGTGCGCGTCGCCAACGCGTCTCCAGCTCGCGTTGGCCATCCTGCTACTCTGATCTGCTTTGCTGTCGCAAAATCATCAGCTTCCTCTTTCCTCACGCGTCGAACACAGCCTCGCTGCCATGTCGCCCGACATCACTTCATCACGGGAGCAGCTGGATCCGTTCTCGCTATGCGCAAACGCGACTCGATCCGCGCCCTACTCCTACCATGCCCCGAGCCCTCCGTCTATTCACATACCTCCGCCTAAGTGGTCTGCGGACCCTGAATGCGCCATGGAGCTCCTGCCGCCGTTACAAGATGGGGACCCGAGCCAGTTGAACGATATACAAATCATCACTCGAAATGAGAGACAAGTCGCGCAGGATTCTTCCGATCTTTGGGTGTATGGTAATCGCTATCAGGCGCAGGCCATTCTGGACTTTCTCTATCTCGGTCCAAATTCCGTTATGCGCGATCATGCCTTTCTAGAGCGGGAGGGTATTACTATGATACTCATTGTGCGCCCATGGCACTTCACCGCCATGGAATCATCTTCCGCAAAGACGGCCAAAAATGAACTGAAGATATCTGTGGAGTATATAGATGTGAACGGCCTGCACGACCTCATTCGTACGTTTCCTAGGGCGGTGCAACTGATAAACGATCATTTGTTGGGTAGAGACCACCCTCGGCCTACCGACAGCGAGAGAGACGTATGCGAGATGGACGGCATCATTGCGCCATCTAGCAGTTTCCGTCGGGGCAAAGTGTTGGTTACGTGCGCTACGGGGATGGACTGGTCACCAGCTATTGTTGCGGCATACGTCATGTCCGTGTTTCGCAAGGATGTGGTGACGGCGTTGCAATTCATTAGCTTGCAGAGAGTCTGTTGCGCATTTGACGAGGATTTAAAGCGCATTTTGCAGTCGTGGGGAGATATCCTTTCAGCAAGCTCGGCGGTTGCCCAGCATGCACACCACCAGGGCCTAGAAGTGGCGAAGCCTGGGCTCGGCCAACATGGAAAAGGTTCTGCAATGGGAGCCGGGGCCTCGGCGCCAAAGAGGGGATTGGATGACATGATGGATGTGAATGAGGATGATTGTCAGGACACTGGAGGAGCTTCCTCGGCGGACCTGGACAGGTTTATTGACCGGGGCCCGTTCGCACCGTTTGCTGATGCCATGCATGGTAATTAGCAACCGCATCTGGTCGAGGTTTGGGGTCTGAGCGATACCAACCATGCAGGCTTGATTTTGGAATTCGTGGAACCCAAGGCATTGATCATGAAGGTCACGCGTCAGGGCAAGCAAAATCAACATTACCTTTGTGGCAGGCGTTCTGGACGGCATAAACATATGGAGATACCCCTGTAATAACATAAGGAACTCAATGGAGTTAAGGCGAGTATAGTTTGATTAGAATTTGACGACAGGGTTGGACTTTCTGTCCTGTATCATCTTGATGGACATGCTATCTGCCATTTTTGGTGAAGAAACGTGAAATGTCTTGTTAACAAGCCCATGTGACGCCGGCAAGCGTGGTAGGCAAATTGAGAAGATACCAGACTGATTGCTCGATACGGACCGTAACTCCGGACAAGTGAAGCTGAGGCCTGAAGTCTGCTTGGGCATGCTGCATAAAACATGTGATTTCATCCACCGTTGGTTGTGCGCGCGATGCTTTGTCAAGGTTTGTGTGGAAACACAACGGGGCAAGGCCGTTGTTGCCGCATCCCGAGAATGGAGTGACAAAGCGGTCAAAGGCACATGTTTGATGGCGTCAATATGTTCATAAGGTGCTACATAAATACCCGTCTATTTCTCAGTATCAGTGCACGGCCTTGCCATTCAGCCTGGGGCGTGTCGACGGGCCTATATCCGCCGTGAACAATGCCCTCAGTGATCCGTGTTCCAGAAAAATGATTGTGCGTGCGTGCCTGGATGATCAAGCCGTGAAATCTTCATCCAATCTTCATCTACTAGGAGAATTACGCCTTGTCCCTCGAACTAGCGCGGAGAGGGTCTGGTGCCCGTCACCCCCCCTTTGTTCACTGTGAATTCACTTTGTCGTCACATTTCCCCCTGCGAGCCGCACAACGAAGCGTCCATGTCCCTTTCATGGTATTCTTACCCATGAAGTTGCCAAGCATGTATGCCCTTTATGTGTCTATTCTCTCTTTCGCCTCCCCCCCTCCCCAGCCACCCTGATTTCAGGCCCGTCTTTCATTCTCAAAACCAAGAGAAAACCCGCCACAATGGCTTCTCGCCAACACAACCTCCGACCTGCATCGGCGCGCCGCATACCGCAGCGCTACAAAAACAGGGACAAGGAAGGCGGCGGAGAAGCGCGCCCCCGAAAGCCGTCTGGAAATCACACTTCGGCTTCTATATCTTCTGCGCGGCCGCAGAGTTCACGCCTCGGAAAGTACTGCGCGTTTCCGTCTCGGCCGCTCAACGATCCGGACCCGGGACCAAGTGAGTTGGTCAAGGCCATGGGAGAGTGCTGCTTCCCCAGCGAAAAGACGCAAGAGCTGGAAAGAATATTGAGAGGTGCGAATTCGCGCCAAGACCAAGGTGAGCGAGCCAGGTTTTTCCCGATTTTGGCCCGCGATCTCGTGGCCGCGTGTTTGCCGAGCTGACGACGAAAAAGGCACACAAGCTTCGGCTCCGACATCGCCGAGGATGGCTCTTGTTGCCAGACTGCCGCCCATGGAATCGGGCCTGGCCAGGTCGCCAGACGACTTGGAGGCACCGCTCGTCCGGGAGGAAATCGAGTGGGGGTCTGATTCGAACGACGAGCCGCCGTGCGCGTATTCCGACATGTCTGGCGCAGGTTCGCGCGGTGGCGAGCTAGACGTCCCGTTGGGCCAGCAGGAGCTGTTGTAGGACAACCTCTCCGCTGGTATTCAATGGGCCATGTGCCATGTACTGTGTAAGAAGCACGCGTTCTGGGAGGCGGTGGGCCTTTTGGAACTGGGCAAGGTCCAGGTTGAGCGTTTTCTCACCATGTATCTGGTAGAGCGCAAGGTTTGGGAGCTATACGACAGGAATGTGGACAATATCCCGTGGCGACAGTTGGCGGCGGAGGCGGCGAGGAGAAATTGCCAAATCGCCGATTTGATGACCTTGTATCCCCTGGAACTCAGCACCGACAGGATCACTGAGGGGGATGTTGTTCAGGCTACGGAGTATATGAGGCGTCGGGGCTTGCATTCCGATGCTGCAGATCTGAAGGGCTGGATGGGCCTGAACACGAGCGGCTTTGTTTATCTGGACATCACGGAACCGATTTTGCTCCCGGGCAAGGGCGCAGAGTCCCTTGGGAGAGCGCACCGTTCTGGATGCATTGACATTGAGCAAATCAAGGCCGTGGCAATAGCCCAAGCCGAGAAAATGGCTGACGAAAGCGATCGAAAATGCTGTATAAACGACGCTTCCCTCGGTACAGCCCCCAGAGTCATCCCGCGTTCAGTACAGGACGTCGGCCAGGACGAGATTATACGAGATGGCATCCACGTCACGCCGCGTCGAAACCGCCATGTGCGCTCGGGGATTCTCAGCGACATGACTAGCCTTGTCCCAATCAGCTGGCATGAGAGCGACAGTCTGTTCGGAAGAAGTCAGCTGCTGGCCCGTGATGGCCAGCCAAGCGCGCCTACGGATGGGAATGCGTATGAGGTACGTACGAGCGCGGGAGGGCAAATGCCTATCTCGCCTTCGCAATGTGTGCCTGGCACTTTTGTCGGCACCGCACTGGAAGCTGGGATGACAAGGAAGGGTTCTCATCCAGCCAGCGCACAAACTAACCATCTACCGCCTCCGACACCCCAGTTTGCAAGGTCAACAACAGCCATGGCAGCGATGCAAAGCTTGATCAACTCCAGCGGAGCCGTGCAAGACAAAGACAGCGGACTCTTTGGCACAGCCGCCGGGCTAGAAGTATCGGCGGTTGTCAGCGGCGGGCTGTCCGCCGGATATCAGTCCCTGATCAATCGACGGGAGACACCGGCTACAAGTGTAGATCAGCACGATACCACAGAAGAGGCCACGGAGCCGCCAGTAGCCCAGGGTTCCCGTAACCTACGAGAGTTTCGGAAAGAGATTGAAGCACTCTCGAATCCAGTTGCCGCGGCCAACACAAACAGCGAAAAGCTCAGACGGGCACTCTTGTCGAGATTCAAACACTACCTCCAGGAAGACAACAAAGCCCCCGTAAGCAGACCAAGGGCTCCTCGTAAGCACACCCAGCGCCTCGTCCAAGAAAGCACCAGACACTAATGATCTCCCAGGCCCGGCACCGATTGAAGTTGTTGAAGACGACTCGGACTATACTCCTGGCCGCAGCACAGGGAAAAGACGCCGGCAGAGCGTGCAGGCGCAGAAAACGCCCGTGAAGCAAAGGAAACTTGACACGACGCCAAACACCCCAGTGCGATGCCAGTCCCGAGGGGCGCCCATGACAGGCAGCCCAGGAGAAGCAATCAAGCCTCTAAATTTAATTTCCATCGACGCAAGTCAAAAGGCAGGCGAACAGGAGGGCGCGGGCCTTGCCTCCCATGCACCGCCGTCGCCCGGCTCCGTCGTTGCCGTCTCCCCGTGCTCACGGCGCCCATCCAAGGGGCCCGGCGCTGGCGGCGAGCCGACCAAGGGCAAGAAGAACGCGGCGCCCATTTTCGGCCTCCATCGGAACCAGGAGCTGACGAGACCCGTCGACGCGTCCGAGAACGCCGAGTACGCGTGGTCGGCCGACGAGGCTGGTTTCGCCGCCAACTCCCAGTTCGCGCGGTATGCCCTGAGGGCGGACCGGCTCAGAAGCGGCTCGAGGCACTGGCCGGAAGATGCGCTGGCGGCGCTCACCAGGCTCAAGGACGAGTTCCACGCGGTCGAGTTCCAGCAGAGGGGCAGCACGACGCGCAACGCGGGGGAGATTAGGTTTGCAGGGTGCGCGGGCCGGGCTGTGTATGCCGACTTTGCGATGGAGGCAGAGTTTGCGATGGAGGTGAGCTGTGACGGGGGTGGAGAGGTGGATGGTGATGAGCGAGGGAGCTGAGCCTGCGACGATGTGAGGGACTAGGAATGGTGGCATGGGATGCATTGTTGGACATTTCTGGGGCCCATGTATGGACCGTGTGTAGATGGAGTGAGTACATGTAGATTTGGACTAGCATGGTTTGGCGTCAAGGTCTTGCTGATATCAACGATTTGCGGAGTACAGAGCAGTTTAATATGTAAAGTATGGAGTACATACCTACATCGACGTTTAATTTGGCCTTTAAAAGACGAACAAATTGGACGAGGCGCAGCGGGCGCTTGCAGAAATCCGTTGCCCACGAATGGCCAATCAACGGCCGCTGCCAAGCTCAACTAGGCTAAGTTGTGGCCCAATTCGGCGGGTCTCGTCCAATCTTTCATTCGACTTGACCGGTTCATTTGGAGGCGGCTGTCCATTGGGGTCTTGAGTATTGACCGTGAGTGACATTGTAGATGTTTGTTGCATGTGCACAATAGACTAATGGCTGCCACGGCTCTCACGGCGCCTGGCTCGTGCGGAGTGGTTTGGCGCACAAGCCAGTTCGTGGCATAGCGTCGCGGGACTTGACATGAAGCACGAGTCGTTTCTTGTTGGGCCAAACGTGGCAGTGTGGGCGTGACACAATACCACGACATAACAAAGGGACAGGAGACGAGCCTTGGCAGGGAATTCAAGGCTGGGGGCCATTGGGGGCGCAATACTATAATAACATGAACAGCCCTGCCGCAGCCAAGTGCCGCATCATCTTTCCTGACCTTGTCCAGCACGGCGGTTTGTCTTGTCGCCAATGGCCATGGTCTGTCGACGTCGGGAAGCCGCCACCGTCAGCAACTAGCAATGCTGACTCGTCGCTCCTTCCGAATTGCTTCTCTCCTTTTAGCGAGCGCTGTTTTCTGGATATTTATTCGATTTCTGTCCGAGCAGGAGATTTACTCGATCCCGCAGACGGCCTTGAGTCTGCGTCAACAGAGCCCCCTACGCTCCCCCGACGCTTCACCGGGTGCGACGGACAGCGCCTCACCACTCTCAGACGAACTTGAAGCAACCCGCCAGCGCTGCGCGTCTCATGGCTTCAAACCCTTCATCCCCGCCGGCGCAGCCCGACGCAAGGTGTACGACTTGTTCATGATCAACTCGGAACTCGACTTTCTGGAGATCCGCCTCGACACTCTCTACGACCACGTGGACTACTTTGTCATTGTCGAGTCACCGCTCACCTTTCAGGGCAGAGAAAAGAACCTCACGATCCGCGACAACTGGTCCAAGTTTGCGCGATTCCACCCCAAGCTTATATACCACCAGCTCGAATTCCCTGCCGACTTTGCACCCCGTCTCACCTGGGACTTTGAGGACCTCCAGCGCGACTCCATGCTCACCCAAGTCTTTCCCAAACTATCCGGCCAACAGGCCCCCAATAGAGGGGACGTCATCATCGTCGCCGACGTCGACGAGATCCCTCGCCCCGAAACAATCACCATCCTGCGATCATGTACATTTCCTCGCCGACTGACCCTCCACTCCAGATTCTACTACTACTCGTTTCAATTCCTCCACGCCGGACCGGAATGGCCCCATCCACAGGCGACGTTTTACCAGGGCCCTGACGAAACCATTACCCCTACGCACTTGCGCGTCGGCGACGGCGGCTCGTTTTTCCACCGAGAACTATTCGAAAAGGGCGGCTTGAAAAACGCCTCGTGGCACTGTAGTAGTTGCTTTGCCACCATTGAGCAGTTGTTGAACAAGATGGCGAGCTTCTCGCACATATGGATGAACGACGCCAAGTTTAGGGATAGAGACAAGATTGTGGAATCCGTCCGGCAGGGCAAGGACCTGTGGGGGCGGAAAACGGACAAGTTTGTCAGGGTGGACGGCAATGCCGATGTGCCGGGGCTGCTGGGCAGAGAGGAAGGCAAGAGGTTTGGGTACATGGTGAGCAGGGACGGCGACGGCGCCGGGTTCACGGACTATCCATAGGTTTTATCACGGGCGTGGGGGGATTGCTCAAAGGGAAGACGGAGGCTTATTCAGGAGTCCAGGACGGGCCACTGTGCCCTGAATGCCTTTGGGGCACACACACATATCTCAATCTACGGTTCTTCCTGTCTGCAACTAGAATCCCCGTCTGAATCTACTACTTGTTCGGACTTGTTCGGAATTCATGGTTCAAGTTGTACAGGCCATGGCCCGAGCAGCCACCAAATCCCTTCCTTTGGCAGTCGCCCACAGAGTGCGCTTTCTGTACCTTAGAAGACGTGAATAAGAAATCTGATAGTTGATGTGTTCCTTCACTTTCCGAACCGGGTGTGAGAGCGTGCCCTGATACGAGTGCGAATCCGCCGTCGCCGCCGGTGTGCAGGCCGTGACGATGCTGTCCCCGCAAGCTCGCCATGTCCCAGACCACCTACCTGCACAATGGCAATAAGAAGACGGTGCGATGGGTGGCTTTCCGCTCCATAGCCTGGTCTGCTGAATTGCCGCAACGGCCTGCGGTTCGTCATTTGGCGGAGCCGGACGCTTGGCGACGACTTGCAGTGCTTCGGAGACGGCAAGTTGCCATGTCGTAATAATTGACCGTTTAATTGCAGGTGACTGCGAAACGGGGCCGCCATGCTAGCCGTTTTGGACAGTGCAGGCGAGTGAAGCGAAGGAGTCGGTAGCGGAGGCTGAAGCTCGCACCTTGACCCGCCGGCGCCGAAAACGGATGCCGGCTCGGGCTGGGTTCGGGCCGGGCGGCCGGAGCTCGGGGCGTCGCTTGCAACGGGGAGTGGGTAACGGAGGCGTAGACATTGCATTGTGGTAATTGGACTCAATATGCAAGGAGATGCCAATAGTGGAAATTGATGCGAATCTTTTCAACTTTTTCATGTGAACAACCTGGTCGATGGTGAGTCTGCAGTCTGCAGGTCGTTGGCCGTTGGTGGACTGTGTTGTGACTCGTCACCCAAGAGCGTTCCAACACAGAAGTAGTATCCGTCCAATCACTGTGTCGCAAGCCGCGCAGGGTTAAAGTTTAATAGCTCTGGGGATTGGCGACAAGGTGTATCTTCGGGAGCGGTTCCATTGGCCGCTTAGCACTTGCGCAACTTGACAAGCCAGCGCTCGGACGTTGGCGGTTCTGCTGGCTTGATCTGGCCAATCAGGGCAATACCGTCTGTCGCCATTTCCCTTTGCTTTTGGTCCATGCTGCCCAAGTTGCCGCGTGCTTCGAAGCTTGACGTGAGCCTTATTGGCGGTCGGACGTAAGCGCCGGCGCCGTGGCTGAAGTTGTCAAGCACAGTCCTGTGAATGCCGATCCCCGTGCACCGGCCGATTATGCCGGTAGCCCTACCGGCTGTGTTGGCATGCGGGCATGTATATAGTCTTGTGAGACGTGTTGATTCAGGTGTAAGAAACTGCATTTTCGAATTCCTTTGTGCTACCTAGTATCGTTGTAGTATTCACTCTAGCGGTGGGAGAAGCATGAAGTTGCAGTTGAGACTCGAGGCCAAACACGATGCGCCGTCGTATCGACCAGGCGATACCGTTCGAGGCACATTGCTGATATGGGGATGTCCACGGCGGAACGTGTCAAAAGTCACAGTCACCATGCGAGGTGAGAGCCGGTGCATCATCCAAGCATAATGACGGATGCTGACAGTACCAGGCAGGGAAACGGCCAGAGTCTCTGCCGAGGCCAACGGCTCTTGTCCGAACCAGCTGAAATACACTGTACGTCTCCTCACTCACAGCCGAGCACTCGCATCTTCATCCGAAGCTCACCGCCCCAAGATGTTCAAGCAGTCGCGGCACCTCGAAGCAAAGCAAGTCACCGGGTCATCCGCCGAGCCTCACGAGCACACCTATCACTGCCCCTTCGAGTTTGAGCTGCCGACAAGTCTCCCCTGCGCCTGCGCCGGACCCTGCGCGCTCCCGCCGTCCATACACGCCGACACGCCCAAGGCCCGCGTTTGCATCTCGTACTCCATCGCCGCCCGCGTGCAGCGCCGCGTGTTCCACCGGATCACGAGGACAACCACGGCCAGGCGCGAGATTCAACTGACCAGCAGTCCCTGCATCACGGCCCTGCCAGCATCGGCCATCGCCTCGCTGCCAGCCGAGAAGCTGCGGAGGGACAGCGGCATCGGCATCGGCATTCACGACTCGACGCCGGCTCTGCCAAGCGGCTCCCTCCCCCGGTACTCGCCTTCGCTGCGGATGGAGGTGATTCTGCCGCAGGCGCCGGTCCTCACCCGGGGGCGCGGGACGCCGGTGCGCCTGGTCATGCACACGCCTGCCGAGATGTTGCGAGGCGGTGGCTTGTATGTCCGGAGCGTGAGCATGCAGCTGAGGATGTGCGTCTCGGTGCGCATGCGCAATACGTGGCATCACATTGTGCAGTCGCGGCGCGGGTGCGTCATCGGCGGCGTGGTGCCTATTCGTGCCGGGCACTTTGAGCTCGAGCTGGGCGATTGGGGGAGCTTGATTGTCGTGCACCCCGATTGCAAGCCTTCGTTTGCCTCGTGTCTGCTCAATGTGACGTATTCTCTTGAAGTTGCCGGCGGCATATCCAAGGGTGTAGACGGTCAGATACAGGTTCGTCTTGCCTTGGACCCCGGCATGGTGATTTGTCCCTGACACGCGGCAGTATGTGAATACGTCTCTGGACGTGTTGGTGATGGATCCTCCTCCGCTGTATGAGGAGATGGATTCTGGCGAAACAGGGTCGTGATGCATCTGCCGAAACGGCCGTGTATTGTCGAGGCGGGCCGTCCATGGGGATCTGCTGGTCTGGCGGTTGAGTTGGACTTGTGCGGTGTGCCACCGCCGAGGGGCTGAGGCCTTGTACGACTTGCCGACTATTTTTGACCATTTAAGTTACTTGCAGGGCTGATGTAGTCATCTCCCAGCTAATCGAGTCAACTCTCCAACAAACATCTAGGCCTTGGTCGTGAATGCAACGCTGACCATTTGGCTCCGGATGCCTTGTTTCTCACTCGCCCACCTCTACTGGCTTGTTATGCGTAATTAGCGGATATTTCTGTACTACCCAAGTTGCCTGGGGTTCCGTCAGGGAGAGTTGGTTGGGCGCTTTCGTGCAGTGGGAATTGTGACGCCGAGATTTGCTGACCAACAAAAGGGACGAGAAACACTGGCACAGGTGAACAAGGCTGTACATGGCGGCAGGCTGCTCGAAACGAGGTTAAGGACGTGGCTTTGCAAGACAAGACGCAAAAATGTCTCATATGCGAGATTTTGAGACATGACTTAGATGTGAAGATTCTTGAATCAACCTCTGTTCGTGTCTCCGTGATACGTAAACCGTCAGCGTTTATCCATTCAGCTTCCATGCTCGCAGAGCCTGAGGATAGAGGTGTGTCTGTGTGCCCAACCGCTGCTTCTCGTCTGCCGTCACAATGGCTGCTCTGCTTGACAGCTTTCGCAAGGCCAACAGCGTAACGCCGGTTCGTGTGTCCCACGGCACGTTGACCCTTTGCCAAGCAGCCACGGAAAGGAGCGAAGAAGCTTTATTGGAGGGCTCTCAGTGAGGGTTGGAGCTCATGCTAATCGGAGTGAAGCCTCGGGATGCACCGCGTGCGGAGACTGCAAGAGAAAATATGCCGTGTAACAGCGGGTATACAGCGGTAGGCGAGACGTACTTGACCAGATGAGGCGCCCGGCTATTATCACGCTTTATATCATAATACATTATAGTACAGTCGTCTATAGTAGTTGGTGCTTGTTTATGGGCAAATATACTCTCCCACGGACTGGAGAATGGTTCTGTTCAAAACATGGTTCACATGGACGCCAACGTGTATAATCCAGTGTAGGCGCATGAGCGAGCAACCCGAGTTAGGCAACCATGCCTCTGAGCCAAGCCTCCATTCCGAATCAAACCATTTCGCGATGAGGGCTTTTCGGCTCATGCAATGTCGATCACTCGGCTTACATGGATGTACGGACCCTGCACCTGGCCACACCTACCTGCTTCTGCATCCCCAAAGGCCCAGTGCCACCCTACCAGAATAGGGTTCTCTACATGTACATAACAAGCTAGTAGCCTGACAGAGAGGAAAAGGCAGTGCTGCGCCCCCATGTGTGATACATGACCTGATGTCCCGTTGCGGCACATGCAGCCCGGCCAAGCTGATTGGAAGCGGACGGTCGGCACCCTACTTGCGCCCGACAACCCGCAACCCCCTTCTTTTCCCCACGGGGAAATCTATGAATTGTCCCGGAATGAGATATTTCCCTCCAAGGTGGGTGGGAGCCGAGGCCATGAAACGTTGGAACGGGACTTGCCGGCACAGACATCTGCCACGGGGCAGGGTATAGTTTCGGGCGAACAAACTAGACAGGGGGTGTATATGTGCAGGGGCTATGCCGTCTGGTATTTTCAGAGTGATTTGAAGTTGAGAAATATCATGTCTATTTAGCAGCAGCATGTACCTGGATGGTCTTTGAACAACGTATCAGATGAACTGTTGCAGAGTAACAATGACCCCGGCTCTGCCGATAGCCGTTGCAAATCACGACTGTAAACGCGCGAAACTGATGATTTGGGCAGGCTTGTGTTCTGGGCCACAGCATATCCCACCTTGATTCTTACAGTCTGGTCCTTTATTGCCTCAGACCTACGTTGTAATACAGCATATGTATTCTGCTGTAGGTAAACGCGCCATTGGGGGAGGTCCGCCATGTCACAACGGCATTTTTGGCATCCTGTTGCTTGGGTTATTTTGAAAGAGCCTCATTTTACCGGCCCCAAGCCAGTTTATATGCTTCCTCTCTAGAAATTCAATCAACACGCCTTATCTCCCGTGTCGACGGATGAAATACAGGGCGTCTACACTAAGAGGTATACAAGGCACAATTATAACAGGCACCAGTAAACCTCCTTTTACTTGGTGTGGTTAAACCGTCACACCCTGGACCAATATGCCCACAGGGTCGCATGGCAGACATGGCGGGAGTATCTTGATGGCATAAACTTGGAGCCACAATGGTCCCAGCTCACAAAGAGTCACCTATGTACTATTTCTTGTCAGCATTCTGCAGAAGCATGTCTTGGAATTTGTACCCTGATTGGGTCCGGCCCAGTTCTGCATTTCAGTCCGGTCTCCCATATTCGTCCTCGTTCACGGGAACCCAGACACGGCCTTCCATCCGGAGGACTGTAATTATTGCGAGAGATTGCAAGTAAAATGACGACGCATGTCAGAATATTGGCTCTTCCCCGCAAGCACAGCATACCGTCACACCAGGCATAGCCCGCTTTGCGAGGAGAAGGGTAATACCAAAGCCTTCGTGGGACTCTTACCCAGCGGAATCGGCCGATTTGGCTCTCTTGTCAACGAGAGAGACGCAGAGACGCCTCGGGGTCTATGGCTCCTGGCTGACGGACAAAAAATATAAATATCCCCCTTCATCCCGCTACCAAAAGTTGGACAGACCATGATCAACAAGCTTCGTTCTTGAACATCAAAACTACCAAACCACCACACAAACTCAGACCCAACACCCTCCAAAATGAAGACCACTCTTGTTCTCGGCCTCTTCACTAGCAGCATCCTCGCCGCCACCGTAGGCGAGGGCGTCAAGCCCGCTACCAAAGACTCCTCTGCCCTGTCGAGCGTGCCCCAGAATCCCATCAACATCGCCGCCTGTACGTTGATCCCTGAAAACCTTGAAACCTGACATGTTCACGCCGAGGGACTAACCGTGCACAGCTGGGAGCCCGGATGCTTGGTGCGGAGGGTTCACTGCCTACCAGTGCTCTGTTTTATGCGGCAACTATGGCTATAGCTGCTACTACTGCAGCTCCAGCTACTGCAACTGCCTCAACTCTGGTTGCTAAGTTGAGATTTTGTGACCTTGCCGGTTCTCTTTGCTTGTCAAAGTGGTTCGTCGAGGTCCGGCCGGCCAATGCCCCCGGGACAGAGTTGAAGGATTGATGGCGCACGTGCTTGGTATCAGGCCGGACATTCTTTTAGTTTATGAGTGTATTTAGTTGGTGTTTGTGTCCTTGGACGAAATACACGCGTTGGCTGGCTACATGTCGGACTTGCAAATTCGTGATGCCGTGCTTTGCTGACCGTTGAAACCAAACACTGCGTTTATTCCATATTCTGAAATGTGTAAGCTTTAGGGGTTATGCTAGCAGACGTTATTCTATGAGAGATGAAGTACTAAAGTCATGTAGTGAAGTAGTAACCTGCCTGTCGGCGATTCTGAACCGAGCGTAGATTTGTCACAACCGCACAGTGGATGCTGACAGCTTGTACACATACACAGCTTTCCTATGAGTTTGACAAGAGTTTCGAATACTAGAGTGAATTAGTCGATTGTATTATTTTCTCGCATCGTTGGAGTTGTGTTGGCGACGCGCCATGTCCACTCAAGTCCGTTACCCACAGTTCGGCACCAAGTCCTCCAAAGCAACTAGCAATGCCTCATATTGATTTCTGCCATATAGACGCGACTATTCGTAGCAGCATCTTCGGATTTCGGTCCGAAGCCGGTAATCTGTGCCGATCGCCAATTGCCCTGCTTCCTAGGTGGTCGCCCAGCCCGTCATCTTCGGTCAGCAGTAAGCAGCCACACCAGATGTCAGCTTGCCCAAAGGCGTATGTCAGAACCAACACTAATTATATAAAGACATCTCCGCCATAACTTCTTTCAACCGAATTCCCATCCAACAGCTCTTCATTGCCGCCAATGCAGGCCAGCACCAATGAACCGGCTATACCTCTACATCGCTCTTGGCGCAGTCATGGCCGACTCCATCATCGAGCTCGCCCTCGTCACCAACATGGTCAGTTGGCTGCACGGCACAACCAGTGCAACATTCTCCATTATGTCCAACGGCACGACCTTTGATCTAGTCGGCGTGCCGAGAAATCTCGCAGTCGACCAGGGACACTCCAGCAATGGCGCCGCAGGGACGGCATTCGTCATCGTCGGCCTCGGCGGCGTGCTTGCCCTCTGGCTCCAAGGCAGGTCCATGCATCGCGGGCAGAAATCAAGCAACCTCATCTACCGCACGTGGCTGCTGTTTACGGTTCTGGCCGCCGTATTCACGCTCGCCACGCTGGCTTACGTCTTTGCTGTGACAAACAGCCTCAAGGGGCAGGTTATTGACGTTGACCTCGCCGCTACGCTTGTCGACACGAGATACCCCAGGGACAACTGGACGCCGCAGGGGTGGTTTGGAGCGGTTTTGCGTCTGGATCTGGCCAGTGCGAGCGAGAGGAGGGATGTCATACTGCACTTGCGCATCATGCATGGATGGCAGTATAATTTGATTCCGATGTTTCTTCTGCAACTCATTCTGACTGTTCTTGCCGTTGTTGATGCTACTGAGGTTCGGAAGTGGAGGAAAGTTGAGTCTGTTGAGGATTATAATTGAAGATGTTGATGTTGGTCGTTGATGTGTCTGTGACGAATATTTGTTGACAAGGTTGCAGGTGGTAGACCGGCAATAGAGATGAGGAACAGAATTACTCGGATATATAGATTGGCTCTACGCGGAGAATGAATTAGTAAATGGCACATTTTGCTTCATCTCGAGGTACCATGGCTGGGGGAATTCTGAACGAGACCATGATGTGGACCGACATGGTTGCACACATGACGCATAAAATCGCCTCAATAGTTGAAGTGTGCCCAGAAAGAAAAGCCCGCGGGGAACTGGAGAGGGTCTGACGTTTTATAATAACTTGATGCCTCCAACGGGTCTTTGACTTGCTGTGCTATTACGCCAGACTCTGGTGTTTGTCAACAGAGCAAGCATGTATTCCATGGATTGACAGAAGATGTCATCTGTTGTAACTTGAAAGATTGACGATGGAATCGGGTGGCTGGGCAGTGGATTCTAGCTTCATACATGTATCATGCATGTATGCCGAGAGCCGCACAAGGCGGTCTGCCTGCATATAGCTGCCCAGCAGCCCAAGTACATTCAAGTCTTGTCTTGGCAACCTGCTTTCTATCATGTCAGTAGGTTGTCTGGTACTTGAGAAATGTGTTGGACCAGAAGGACAGACAGTTCTCGATTGTGTCACGTGTGCACAAGTGACTAGGAAATTACCATTTAATCGTATCTCGTAGACGGCGGCGTTGTTCTTTCCTGATGTGGGCGCCTCTAGATGCTTTAAACGCTCACCACGTATTCCCCGACTATGAGTTTTATCCATTATTACAATTATAACACCGTATACTGATCTTCTCATTAAATAGACAGTAGTTTACGAACTCCTGACACTGCTTACTGAGCTTCTTCACTTTGGGAACAACGGGAGAAAACGGGAGAAACCTACATCACTTTACTTCCCAGCTTTTACAGGGAAGAGAACCGCCATAATTGCAACTAATATTCAACCCAAGCTCTGGCGAGCTAGGCCTAAGGCGGTTAACTGGATCAAGTTCCACTTCAACTGTCAAACGGCAGAGGCATGGCGGTTTAGGGTTAGATTTAGAGTTGGTCTTTGGATAGAGAGAAACAAGGTTAGTGAATTTGTATACAGCGTTGACTGTCACAAGGGCAGAGCGCAAATAAATAGAGTTGATAGCGCAAATAGCATAAGGAAATATTATAATCTTCACTTAATTATATGAAACTTATATGTAAAAGTAGCTTAAATATATATATGTCAAAGATAAATATAATATAAGCTATAATCTTATATATACAACTCCTAGTAAACAAACTCCGACTTCGGGCCTCGTGATATTTTTTTGTCGTTGTGTAAGTGTTGATGGCCCAATGCCCCTTTGTTGGGAGCCAACCGTGTGACAATAACAACCACAACTTCAAATTCAAATCTTGGAGCCAAGTTTAACCTTGCAACTTGAACTTGAACTTGGACGTGCCGCGGCCCTACTACACGAGTAATCCGATGACCCAGGCCACGTCTCGTCGGCATGAATTGCCCCCTATAGAGCCAATAAACGTCTGGTCTTGATAACAGTGCTTGGGGGCCCTGACTCGCGGGCATTAAAAACTATATTGCTGTGGATTGATTTTTTGGGTTATCAATTGATGAGCTTTTGGGGGCTTCTCAATTCAACAACAAGTAGGTATTTATGCATACATGCTATTGGAGTATGTCTTGGCTTCCGTTTCAAGATAGTATCTCCCACCGGCCCGAGTCTGCGTAATAAAATATAATACAATAAGGTATTAAGAGTCTATTAAAAACGTACTTTTACGCTTAAACCTACTGTAAATACTTCTTAAAAAATTATTAAATTATATATAAGTAAAGCTTTTTCTTCGTATAAATATACGTATCTTGGCAATACAATATAATACTTGCAGTCAGGATATAACAAGAAAAATGCCTCAACCAGGTTATCGCATAAACCTGCTTTATTATAGCTGTGATCCTAAACCTAGCAGCTAAATATAAGACAACTAATAAAGAGACTTACACTACTAAATTATAATAGGGATTTTCTTTTATACTATTTTTACTAATTTCTTAGTTAATTTTTATTAAATTTAATAATATTTTTTATTACTTTTATAATATTTTTTTTTATTAATAAGATTAAATAAATTATTAGTAGCTATAATATAATAATTTAATTAATATAATTATAGCTATTAATAAGTATTTCTTATTATTTTTATAATATTAAAAATTATACTTATTTTTTTATTATTTTTAATAATTTATTATACCTTAAAATATATTATTAATATTATATTTTTTAA